TATATATATCCTATATGCTAAGGTCCCGCTGCTGACACGAGAGCAGTCATTTCGTGTGCATAAGTGCAATTAAACCGAATTAAACCCATGATATCAAAATCTCACTCCAGCCAGGTACCCAAAGTTGGCAACCCTGCAAATGGTTGACATTAAACATTAAAACGACCAGGCAGTTCAGAGAGAATCAAAGGAAGGCAGGCAGGCAGCTTTGCATGACATTCTTCAGGACGTGTTTCATTGTGGTGAAGTGCTAAAACTTCACATGTGTGCTAACAGTCCAGCCGTGAAGACATCTACGGGACAGTTTTGAGATTTCTTCAAATGCCGTTGGCATGGCGACAGATCATTCACCATCAAGTTAGTTCAAAGGTTTGCAGTTCAAATATTCTGCTGCTTTTCCAAGCCTTTTTACTTTATTTTCTTCTCTCATCACACATTCAAGCCCCCAGTGTTCATGTATCATTTCAATCTAAATTCTTCACTTTCTTCTTACACATTACTTTTCAGCATAAAGCATTCCCACTAGCAATTTCTTCAGGAATTGCATTCTCTAGTTCATTAATATTGCCCACCTGTTGTTCCCTCTGACTCCAAAATGTAATTTCCCTGGTCATCGGTTAATATAATGGGGTCATGACTTCCAATGGCATCTTGCACCTTTCCAATGATCCCCTGAATGGAAGCCTCGCATTCCAAAAACCGGACAACCACCATTCTGCTGGGACTCTCCCACCAACCAGGTCAGCAAGGTACACTGATCTGTAAGAATATCATACCCACATAAATGCTATGACACTGAAGGCATTAATAATCATAGCAATGGTTAATACATATGTGTCATTTATATATCAACAGAAGACAATGTAGAGCATTTTTTAGGGAATAATGTTAAAATGTGCATAAAGTGGTATTAACTATTATTACACAATAACTACGAATTATACAAAGAATGGAAACTGGAGTTTAAATGATCATTTCCTCATTTCAAATCTTATCTATCTCTTTTTCAACTAAATTAAATTATAATTCATTTCCCATCTCGTAATTGGTACATTTTAAAAATAACGTTTCACAGTAATTTAGTAAGCGACTTTTAGGTTACCTTTGAAATGTTTTGGAGACAGTGGCCCTTGGGGGGGCTGAAGCCCGCTGTGCAGGTGAACTAGCAGAAGCAGTTGCAGGTGTTTGCATGAAAGAAAATCGTTGGCCCATGTTACTTGAAGCTGATGGCGGGACATCGTCCTCACCATGCACCTCATAGTGACCTCTGGGAGTGAGATCATAGGAGTTGAAAACACCTGATGCCCCAGGAAACAAGCCCACGTTCGCGTCATCACTCACATATGCCCCTTTCACACCAACGCGTTTTCAGCTCCGGCTCGGAGCTGGAGCCTGAAAAGTACTACCGGTTTTTCCTGTTCACACCGCAGCGGCGCCGCCTCTTAGCTCCGGAATCCGGTTCACTTCCTAAGTCGCTTTGGAGAAAAGCATCTAACAAGTAACATGTCATGTAATGTAACCTGGCTTGGTTGAAAGCCCACTCACCACGTCAAGGTGCAGGTAATGGGTGGGAAAATCAGTGTGTGTGTGTGGGGGGCACTAAGGCCAGCGTCCAGCCACAAGGGAGTGTGGTGTGTGTGTGTGTGTGTGGGGCACTAAGGCCAGCGTCCAGCCACAAGGGAGTGTGTGTGTGGGGCACTAAGGCCAGCGTCCAGCCACAAGGGAGTGTGTGTGTGGGGCACTAAGGCCAAGGGCGCCGGAAGCGGGGGGGCCATTGGCCCCCCCACTTTTGAGCCCTGCCCTACATTTTCGCAGCGGCGGATGCCGCAGAACACTGTACAAATCCCGTTTCAATAATTCCCCTCTACTCTAAAGTCGCATCTAAAACGCGATCTGATCTAGCTGTGTATATTTTGTTATTTGTTATTGTTATATTCAATCTCATTAGCTACAGGCATTTTTGAAGCTTGTAAAGGGAAGATGACAGCTCGCCTCTCACTCGCCACTCTGCTCTTCCACAGCGCCGCTTCCCCTCCCTCTGCTGAAATTATGAATGTAAGGCGTATAGTAATCATATATAACACGGCAGGGTCCGTTACAGTTTGTTTGTATCTGATTTCAAATAAACAAAGTCTTGGCTTTCAGAATATTAAACTTGTTTCGGCAAATTCAGATGATAAATACAACTTTGAAGCTTGTAACGGCATAATTACAAGCGGAGACCGGAGTAACTTTACGTCACAGCACGCATAAGAACAGCCGGTGTTTCTTGTGAGTGTTTTCCCCGGGAAACAAACACAATACACACACAAACGCAAAAATACACAAACACGTATACACACACTCGCGGGCTTCCCCCAGACCAGTAATCCAAACGAAAATATCTTCCCTCCGTTACTACTTTGATCATTTGCTCCGCTTCCAGAGAAGAGGAAACTTTAAAGGCCTTTTTCTCAAAATGATGACTCTGTAACAGTCAGTATATAATGTGACATATTTTGCTTAATATTTGGGAGTACAAAAACTATCCTGATATCATTAGAAAGCTAGGAATCTCCTCTTTCCAACAGTGTATACAACTCAAAATGTGTCTTCGGGTCAATGCGACTGATTTCTATGGAGCAGGTTTGCATTAGGTAAAATAAAGCAGGCAGACATAACAGGAAGAATATGTAAATTTTAACCCAATCAAATAGGACATTGTCACACCATTCAAATGTATCCATGTAAATTACAACCAATAAAAAAGCTTAGATGTGTTTATTTGTTACGTTGTTTACTTTATTTGTTACGTTGTTCTGTGTGTGTCAGCCGTTAAACCAGATAGAAAGAATAGATACACTTGCAAACAAGTCAGAAGAACCAGCGCAGAAGAAAACTAAATACAGTTAATCTAAACTTACATTTAACAACTGGAAGGTCACATCCCTGACATCCACTTCTCCGGAGCCTGGACCTTCATCAATCATAGAAGAACCAGCGAAGCCAGAATAGATAAACCCAAAAGCAGCAGCTCTGCGGCCGCAGAGACTGTCAAAACCGCCGCCGCCACCCCCACCGCCATCGTTGAACCGAAACAGGCTGGTTCTGACTGCATGGAGGTTTGTTGTCGGGACATTGAGGCGGGTAAAGCTGTACAGCTAACTGTCGAAAAATAGGAGACCGCTAGATCGTCTGGGCAAAGAGAAAGGTACTTCAACGCAGAATGGTACAAAAACAGAGAGTGGTTAATTATTTGCAAAACCACTAAACGGGCCTTCTGTGAAATATGCAGATTTGCTGCTGTCAAACGGCTTGTAACTTTCTCAAAATGTGGAGATGATAGCTATGTTAATACCGGAGTTAATAACTGGAAAAAGTGCCCAAGCCTCCATGAACAGTTGTCTCTGACTGTACGATGGGTATCAGCTGATTATGTTGTCCATGAAGACTTCATAGCATGACTGTCCTAAGACTGACGCAGAATCAATAACCCACTGATAAACTGCGATGTTAACAACCTCATGATAACCTCATATGTTTTTAACTTAGGATCATAGGCTACCTGTGTTTAGTCTAGAAAAAGGTAATTGTGTGCATTTTATTATAAAGTTGTGTATATTTACAGACTGTTGCAAAAACTAATAAGCTTATAAACATAAGGTTTAAAACTAAAAGAGCTTTACAAAAAAGTAACACAATTAAAGATGTTTGGAGTTTTATTTGAGTTATTAATTTACATTTTTTGTCAAAGAGATGCTGATTTGAAACCGTTGTTACATACAGTTACGGCATTTCCTGTTTCTGCCGGAGAGAGGGGAGTTTGTCCCAAAGCTTGCCGCTGTCTCCCTCCATCTGACAGGAGGGAGCCTCATGTGTCACTCCACGGAGTTCACTACGTCACGGAGGGGGAGTGTGTCGGGCGTAGTTTGGGATTGGGCCATACACACGCACTTTTTTGGCCCCCCCACTTCTAAAATGAATCCGGCGCGCCTGACGCTCGTGAACTGTCAGCGGGGGGTACACTGTGAACCTCTGTCGCCTGTCAGCGCAACTTACATGATGCCGTTTAAAACCATAGACTGTATATATAAAGTTTAAAACATATAATAATAAAGGGCGGTGCCGGCCGTCAGCGAACCGAGCCGGCCTTTCTCCGCATCTGATTCATGTCATAAACCAGATTTTAGAAAAGCATTTTAGCCAATCAAAATGAAATATGCGGGACATCGTCTCAATTTGCGGGACACACCAAAAGTCGTGAAAATGCTGTGCAATACCGCACAAATTTAAGCGGGACATCTGGTCACCCAGACGGCTGAGTTGACCGCAGTGCAGAATCGCTGTATAGTTGAAATCTCCTAACAATGTTGTCCATTTTAGAAATAGGCCTATTATATTTACAGCCCTTTATAACATTCATTTTCTGGGCTCAAAGTGTGTCTTGGCCGTTTTCATTGTGATCGCTAAATTCCCCTTGTTTATAATAATCACAATAATCACACAACAGGATACTGTAGTGATTCAAAGTGTGATTTTAGCATAGCCTACGAGTGCTTTTGTTTTGAAATCACTTCCGTGAGTTTCGTCTGCGCTCTTATTTTGTAAGGTAACTTCCGGTAGCAGAATATGAAAAAACGGGGGGTTTTTTTGTTTCTGTTTTCTAGTGATTTTATTTTTTGTTTTGAGAAGTAGAAAATGAAAATCATCCCGTTTTTTAAGTTTAGTAAATCCCTTTTTGACCGTGATAAAGAAAAACGCCTTGTATTTCAATTTTGGTTTTTCAATTTGAAAACGAAAATCAAATATCCAGTCGTTTTTTGTTTTTGAATTTCCATTTGTGAAAAGAAAATCCAATGACCAAAACATACACTGACCACGGACCAACATGGCTTATTTTCTGAACAACGAAATTCATACAAAAAAGACAAACGGAAAAGTCTCAAAAAAGTTGAATGAAAAGGAACGAGGAGGGTGAAAAATGTGGTGAGGGGCGGGGCCTGCTCACAGGTGAACGCCGCACAGGTGGAAGGAAGGAAGGAGGGCAAATGTGCGTCCTGAAAAACCAGTGGCGGCTGTCGGCGCCGTTACTCGGGCTCGCGCTCCTCCGGAATGGCCCCCAGCTGCGTGGGGAACTGCGCGCCGCTGTTCTTCCTCGCGGTGGTGTTCGATGCCGCCGGGCTGGTGGTGCTGCTGGTCGGGATTTTCGGCAACCTGAACGTCGACGGCCGCTTCTACGGGGATTTCCTCATCTTCACGGGCTCCGTCGTGATTTTCCTCAGTCTGCTGTGGTGGGTTCCGTGGTACGCGGGGAACGTGCAGCAGTACGCGGAGGACAGGGCCGGTTCGCTGGAGATCAACTTTATGCAGTGGGCCAGGAAGCTGTCCGAAAGGCTCTCCATAGGCGGCATGAAGCCTCTGGGAGCGGGGGAGGAGAAGAAGAAGAGCGTGGGGGACGGGAAGGAGATGAGTGGGACTGTGCGTGCTGCGCCGTGTCGAGTTACGTGGGAGACCGGCAGCAGTGGAGCCGTGCCGGGTCAGGACAGCACGGGCTCTGATGGATGGCCTGAGCGCGCTCCAGCTGACCGGACCGTGGAGCTGGGGGTGCTGAAGAGCGGCACCGGGGCTCTAGCAGCAGGGGGCAAAGCCGAGAGGCTGCTCTGAGGAGAAGGTGGGTGTCATCACGAACACACGTGCAGAGAACGTTTGAGGAGCGGTACCCAAATAAATAAAAGTCCAAGCTGGCAATTTTTGTTAACTTTAAATAAATATATGCCTGCATGGGATAGCTACTTTTGTGACAGTTTTAAGGGATATTCATTTGTATGTATTCTAGACAAACCCATGGGGTTGGTTCAAACGCTTCATGACAGATAATTCATGATACATCCAAAGAAATTAGGTGTATTTCAGTGAATTCTTGTTAACTTGCCTAAAGCCCTCTGACTGACCGAAGCTCTACTGCTTCCTCTCTCGCCTCCTTATTTCTTTTACCACCTTCTCCTTAAAGCCATCAGGCACAATGCTTCAGTAATGACGGGCAATAAAAAGATTGTGAACTACTGTGACAAATAATTAGTTTAATAGTGTGCCTTAGTGTTCTACACACACAATGTAACTGCATTACTGTAACATGCACACTGCTGCTGACACTTTGAAAAGCCTCTGTAAGCCACTGTCCCCTGACAATAACCTGCAGAGTCTGGGTTAAAGCCAGGCTTAGTAGGGCGGCTGCTGTTCATCAGCTCTCCCTGCCTCAGCTGAAACTCTTTTATCATTACTGTGGCACATAGCTGTCACACAGTCAGAATTATGAAGTGGCTCACATTATTGTGTGTGATCAGATGACCCCCCCCCCAACAGGACCCTGCCTCAGTGCTCATGAATATCTCTCATAATATAAATGTCTATCCCCGGCTCCTGTGAAAAGATCTCCAGTGGCCCCTGGCAGCTTTTAATTAATGAGCCTGACCGTTTTGCTCACCTTTACAGATCTGCATTATTTTAGCCGTCACTTTGCTTGTAACTGGTCGGCAAGCCAGACACCCGTTGCGCCAAAAGGCACAATTACATTTTAATGGAACTCAGCACTGCTTATTGATCCAGAGTGCAGCAAGTAGATTGGTTGGCCTACACTGCCACTAATGCAGGGCTCATATAAGTGTGAGTCATGCATACTAGTTTGAGATAGTTAACTTTACGAGGGCCCAGCCTGAATCCCATATTGTCTCACCAGGCTTATGATCTTGAGATATGGGATGTTGTGAAATGACGTGGGTAAGAACAAACATTGTGTGCTGAACAATGAGGCTGGTTCCCTACTGTACCTTCACTGGGAGCAGAGCCACTCAGGTCATTTCCTACATAGTTGTAGTTGCACATGGTGGGTTTCAAACACTAAAACTATATGTTATTCTTAAATTTGCTAGATCTGTGCAGAGTTTAAAGAAATAGCACAAGAGTTAGCCAAGAGCTCATTTGCATACCTGGACAGGTCAACAAAAGAAAACAGTCAGAGGAGAACCTGAAACAAGACCACGCATAAAAAACATTCATTAATGATGATAAAAATGAATGTATTAAATACAAGGCGATCATTCGTGTTGACAGATGTTCAGTTTGAAGATGTTATCACTTTTACAGCAAAAAGATTAATTAAAATCAAACAACAACAAAGGGAGTTTGTTTTTATCCCACAGAAAAAAATCCAGATATATATATATTTTTTTCATATATATATATATATTTATTAGGGCTGTCAGTCGATTAAAAATATTTAATCGCGATTAATGTCATGATGTCCATAGTTAATCGCAAATTAATCGCACATTTTGTATCTGTTCTAAATGTACCTTAGAGGAATATTTTTCAAGTTTGTAATACTCTTATCAACATATGAGTGGACAAATATGCTTTATGCAAATGTTTGTTTATTATCATTTGAACAATGACAAATATTCTCCTGAATATTCTCAACACAACAACCTGGAACCTCTCTCTCTCTGGCTGGTGCCCCACGAGGACGGAAACGGGTTGTATCCGCATATTTCTCTTGCGTATAGCCCTTTTTGCCACACGAGGCCGTAACTAAACAATAGAAACCGACCCTGCAAACGACAACGGGTCCAAAGGTGGATAGATCTGGGAACGGAGCGCTCTGGGGGGTCCAACGGCTCCGTGTGATCGCCTCTATACGGTCATTTTCTGATAATGACGACGCAATAGCCCTGCCTCCCCCCGCCTCTGCTGCTCACCCCCGCAAAAGTACACTGCACACTGAATTCAGATTATTTATCTTTATCTCGATATGGACATAAACGCGAGTGAAGTCTAATCTGACAGGACGGAGACACGCAGCTCCTCCCGCTGTGATGCAGCGGGAGCAAAACACACACTTCAAGTCAGATCATCACCCTTAGCTATTTTAATTACCTCTCAAACTACCTAAACTAGTTATAAATATGTTTATTTTTACTGTCGAGTCATCATTACTGGATCAGCTGCTGCATGAGACAGACACTGACGCTGTCAGAAGAGAGGAAAAAGAGACAGGCTCCGTGTATTTTATTATTATATATCATTATATAGAGTCGTTATTCATTTGTTTTAAAGCTCAATAAATAACAAAGAAGACCTTTGACCGGCACTTTTATAATTTTGTCCGGAAGATTTAAACTTTAACACACGTTGACCGGCGAAAAACTCTGCCCGGTTCCCTCAGCCCCCACCACGGAGAATACACAGAAGTGCAACCATGACAACCATTCTTCTTCGCTGCTTTTGTGGAGGAAGTTGCTGCTTTTGTGGAGGAAGTTACAGCGCCACGTACAGGCTCGGCATATGTACTGCAGCTTTTCCAGCGGTTGGATCTAAACGGAGCTGTCTCGTGTGGGCAGACACTATCCGGTGTCTATTGCGTGTGGACGGAAGCTTTTTGCGATTGCGTTAATCCTATGCGTTTTGCCGTATGCGTTCCCGTGGGGAACCTTACACTCTCTCCCAACCCTGTCTACTTCTTTGCACTGAGCCAGTTGCTCAAACAGACAAGCCTGTTTACAGTTGTCGGTGAAATGCCACTCCTCTGTCTTCAAAGCATGAGACTGAAGTTCCCACCTAGGGTCAAAATAATGCGCTGTGATGTGCAGTCGACACGTTGGATGCGATCCGAATGATCTAACGCAGCCCCTCGTCCTCCACAAAGTTAAAGGGGACCTATCATGCAAAATGCACTTTTGTACGTCTTTTATACATGAATATGTGTCCCCGGTGTTCCAGGGAACTCACCAAGTGTCAGAAAACACAACCCTCTCTATTTTCCTCCATACCCAAATCTCTAAAAAAGGGACTGCAACGGATCTGATACAGACTGAGACGCTGTAGTACATATGCCAGGCCTGTTAGTGGCGCTGTAGTCTGCCACAAAAGCAGCGAAGAAGACTTCTCGCCCATAGTTACCATGGTTACCCTTCTGTTTATTCTCCGCTGTGGCTTTCTTTCTCCCTCCAAGCAAGCGTTTGCTCCCGCTGCTTTAATTCAATGCAATCCCTCCCCGTCGAGGCAAGCACTGTAATTCTCTCCGGTTAGTCCACCAGCAGATGACAAACACCCACCTCTCCGCCTCTTCCAAGGAACGAGGGGACCGTGCGGCAGAGTTTCAGTTAGGTTTTCTTTCGCCGGTCAAGATGTCCGTTAAAGTTTCAATCTTCCGGACAAAATTAGAAAAGTGCCGGTCAAAGGTCTTCTTTGTTATTTATTGAGCTTTAAAACAAATGAATAACGACTCTATATAATAAAACACGGAGGACGGAGATCTATTTTTCTCCCCCTCTTCTGACTTGATCAGAGCACGCTATCCTCTCCTGCAGGGGGGCGTGGTCAGCTGCAGCTCACAGAATCAGCCCCCTGCAAAAACTGCTGGAGAACAGCAAATAGAGCGAAATGAGGCATGGCTAAAATGCATGATCTGTTTGGTATTTTGAAAACGGAAACGTATAAATATACCTTATTGTATGGCACTACAATATATCATTTAAATATAGCATGATAGGTCCACTTTAAGCTGTAGCCACCCATTTAGCTATCGCTGTTGTTGTCCAGGCGTCTCCCCGGCAAACTTTCAAGCGTGGTCTGCCGCAAGCGAGCGGCAGGAGCGGGGCTGTCAGCATCAGCTGTGTGCTTGGCTTGCTGTTTAAAACACTTTTTTTGTATCCATATCTCTCGCTAGAATCTCCCACCATCCAACCAACAACAACAACGTCAAGCCTTTGGGCTCTGAAACTACGGGGCGGGCCGAGGACAAATACACATGCGTTAATCGCACGTTAAAATAATTAGTGGCGTTAAAAAAAAATGCGTTAACACATTAACGCGTTAACTTGACAGCCCTAATATATATATATATATATATATATATATATATATATATATATATATATATATATATATATATATATATATATATATCATATTAATATATTGTAGGTAGTAGGGGATCAAAAACAAATGAGTATCCTGGACCTCCTAAGAACAACAGTGATGTATCAGCCTCTCCCTGTACGAGTCAATATAGTATGTTGATCAGGGTGATATGTTTGTGTTGCATGGATTAGTAACAGAGAGAGATTAGGTTCAAGTGATGATTGCCTTATCACGTATTCATTCTGAAGTGTGAACAAAAGGGTGTGTGTGTGTATTAGTTAGTATTTGTGTTTCATAGCAGTCTTTATATCAAACCAGTAAAAATAATAAAACATTTTGGGGGGTGTGTGTGTGTGTGTGTGTGTGAAAATTTGAAATGGAACATTTGATAATAACTAAGAGATTGACTTCATAGGAGAGCTAACCTTCCAGATTACAGAGGCCCTTATGCCTTCCAGAGGATATTGTAGAAATACTTTAACCCTTCATACGTGTTTTAATTTTCTTACATGATTTGTTGATTTCAACCTATACAAAACTATGTCTCTCCTCTTCCTTAGGTGGCGTGCAGCTTTCTGGTCGTGCTGTTTTATAAAAATCCAATCAGACTGAAAACATTGAGTTTATGAAATAAGGACGCTTTTGTTTTTTAAATGGAAAGAGCATTTCTTTATCAGGGAAAAGCCTCCTGCATGCACGGTAGGCAGAAGGGCTGTGCACAGAGAAAGAAAAGGTCTACATGTATATAGCACATTTCTATTTCATTTTGTGACAGCTGTAAATAATTTTTCTTGCCAATAAAGTTTTCATGTAAATATTGTGTGAGGGTGTTTCTGTATCCAGGTGACTGATAGTGCTTGGTGTCGTATAACACAGAGCAACGCCCACGCTTTGGCGCTGCTCGAGAGACAGTTTCCATTGTCTGGGTTCCAGCTTTTCATTTTTCTTTAACATTTATCCATACTTCAGGAAGCTGTTTTTCACTCTTCACACGGTTGAAGGCTGTAAACATTACCCAGGTGTTCTCACACTTTGTTGATCTAAATCATCAACGCCATATATCTAGCTGTGAGCTGGGGATGAGGCCTGGATGGTGGTTATGAAAGATAGAGCCAGAAACTCTCCTGACAGTTTTGAGGAAACGTGTCTCTTGTGACTTGTAGATACAGAAAGGAATGTGAGCAGAGTGTTAACTCTCTTCCTGTTCATCAGACTCAAAGTCGGCACTCAGAAGTGAATTATTATTTCCCTCCTAACAATTTTCACATTGTACCGTTTAGGTGTTAAAGCTGTGAATAGTTCTTTAAAGTTTGAGCGCTCTCAGCTACTCCTATCATGGATTACAGCACCTATCTGCCTGCTGCTTTTCTTCATCGCCTTCCCCCTGGATGCTCCTCCTCATCCTCTTCTTCATCGGGGTCTGCGCTCCCCTCAGCTCCTGGGAGTTCTTCGTCTTCTCAGGACCCCTCCTTATCTTCCTCAACCTGGTGTTCTGGTTCATTGTGTAGTACAGAACTGTCTTCCTTTTGATCCTTTAACTGCCTTTTTAGACTGTTGTTCCCAAACAGTCTCTGTCGTTATTTTCCCGTGGTGAAATGTGAGTGTTGGTCGCTCAACCCATTCAATACAACCAGTCAAACTGGGTCCATTAGCACTGGGTCAGGGAGAGCTCTCAGTTTACAAGAATGGGTTTGTGTGAGGAGGAAGAAAGAAACATGAAACTTCATAACAATATAAAAATATAGTGGAATACAACTTTTGTGAAGCCGTGCACGATATGTGCTTTGGTATAATCTTAACATAAAATATGTAGCACAACTTCTCTGTTACTGAAGTAGTCACACCCTATTTGCAGTGTGGCTGATATTTAATCTTAACACCAGATAACCCTCAGGTTTGGCAACAACAGCCACTAGACTGAAGCTTTAACAAGACAAAAAAGTGACAAACAAGAAAACAACAGGAAGGAGAAATGTCCCCCTTTAATTCATTTGGATTCACTAAAGCACATACAGTGTTTAAATATTTTAAGGGTTTCAAAAGGTAGTTGTATTGCCGATCACCTGAGGTGGCCCACGCAGTTTAGCCTTGCACAGCGGCCACGTGTCAGACTTGCATTACTAATTCATTAGCACAGCCCAATGTGTCTCACACACACACACCCACGGGTTTGTCTAGAGTGAAGTGCTTGCAGGAGACACATTCCAGGTCAAAAAGTGTCATGTTCAGGTGACACAGGGCAGGTGTGTGTCCACACAATGCTGGCAGCAGGCAATGGAAAGTGTGTGTGTGTGTGTGTGTGTGTGTGTGTGTGTGTGTGTGTGTGTGTGTGTGTGTGTGTGTGTGTGTGTGTGTGTGTGTGTGTGTGTGTGTGTGTGTGTGTGTGTGTGTGTGTGTGTGTGTGTGTGTGTGTGTGTGTGTGTGTGTGTGTGTGTGTGTGTGTGTGTGTGTGTGTGTGTGTGTGTGTGTGTGTGTGTGTGTGTGTGTGTGTGTGTGTGTGTGTGTGTGTGTGTGTGTGTGTGTGTATTCAGTCGAACAGAAACACTTTAAGGTGTTATTATACATCTGTATGTCATTTTTTAAAGGCCATGTTTCGGGGAGCACTTTCAGTAAATTACTAAAATTGTAAAACTCTAAATGAAATTCCTGCTTTTGGACATATTAAACTACATTCTAAATAGTCACAATATTCAATCAATGAGCGCTTTGAGTCTTTTCAAACAGTCATTTTAACAGTCACTACGTCATGATACTGTACCTATTACCTACCTAACTAGGCTGGTACAGCAAACCTCAGTGGCCAATCAGTTTCCAGAAGAACAGCTTTTACCACAGACTCAAATTAAATGGCATATTTGTGTACAATTAGCAAATCTGGTGCTTAAGTGCCAAATATAAGGCAGCCTCGACCTGTAGGTGATATTAGACATGCATATAAAGTCACAAAAGCCCCATAAGCTCCTAAACATACACTACTACAGTACTCAAGTAGTGAGAATAGCTTCAGTCTCTGCAGAACTATAAAGGAACCAGCAGGGGGCAGCACTGGATTGAGGTTTCACTCTCCAACAGACTGTGATACACCATATGTACAGTACAGTGTGTAATACACACACCATCAGAAATACAGTACAGTGTGTAATACACCATCAGATGTACAGTACAGTGTGTAATACACCATCAGATGTACAGTACAGTGTGTAATACACCATCAGATGTACATGTTGTAATACACCATCAGATGTACAGTACAGTGTGTATACCACCATCAGATGTACAGTACAGTGTGTAATACACCATCAGATGTACAGTGTGTAATACACCATCAGATGTACAGTACAGTGTGTAATACACCATCAGATGTACAGTGTGTAATACACCATCAGATGTACAGTACAGTGTAATACACCATCATATGTACAGTACAGTGGTGTAATACACCATCAATGTACAGTACAGTGTGGTAATACACCATCAGATGTACAGTGTGTAATACACCATCAGATGTACAGTACAGTGTAATACACCATCATATGTACAGTACAGTGTGTAATACACCATCAGATGTACAGTGTGTATACACCATCAGAATGTACAGTACAGTGTAATACACCATCATATGTACAGTACAGTGTGTAATACACACACCATCAGAAATACAGTACAGTGTGTAATACACCATCAGATGTACAGTACAGTGTGTAATACACCATCAGATGTACAGTACAGTGTGTAATACACCATCAGATGTACAGTGTGTAATACACCATCAGATGTACAGTACAGTGTAATACACCATCAGATGTACAGTACAGTGTGTAATACACCATCAGATGTACAGTGTGTAATACACCATCAGATGTACAGTACAGTGTGTAATACAACCATCCAGATGTACAGTGTGTAATACACCATCAGATGTACAGTACAGTGTAATACACCATCATATGTACAGTACAGTGTGTATACACCATCAGATGTACAGTACAGTGTGTAAACACCATCAGATGTACAGTGGTTAATACACCATCAGATGTACAGTACAGTGTAATACACCATCAGATGTACAGTGTGTAATACACCATCAGATGTACAGTACAGTGTGTAATACACCATCAGATGTACAGTACAGTGTGTAATACACCATCAGATGTACAGTACAGTGTAATACACCATCAGATGTACAGTGTGTAATACACCATCATATGTACAGTACAGTGTAATACACCATCAGATGTACAGTGTGTAATACACCATCAGATGTACAGTACAGTGTAATACACCATCATATGTACAGTACAGTGTGTAATACACCATCAGATGTACAGTGTGTAATACACCATCAGATGTACAGTACATGTAATACACCATCAGATGTACAGTGTGTAATACACCATCAGATGTACAGTACAGTGTGTAATACACCATCAGATGTACAGTACAGTGTGTAATACCATCAGATGTACAGTACAGTGTAATACACCATCAGATGTACAGTGTGTAATACACCATCATATGTACAGTACAGTGTAATACACCATCAGATGTACAGTGTGTAATACACCATCAGATGTACAGTACAGTGTATTACACATCATAGTACAGTACAGTGTGTAATACACCATCAGATGTACAGTACAGTGTGTAATACCACCATCAGATGTACAGTACAGTGTGTAATACACCATCAGATGTACAGTGTGTAATACACCATCAGATGTACAGTACAGTGTGTAATACACCATCAGATGTACAGTACAGTGTGTAATACACCATCAGATGTACAGTGTGTAATACACCATCAGATGTACAGTACAGTGTGTAATACACCATCAGATGTACAGTGTGTAATACACCATCAGATGTACAGTACAGTGTAATACACCATCATATGTACAGTACAGTGTGTAATACACCATCAGATGTACAGTACAGTGTGTAATACACCATCAGATGTACAGTGTGTAATACACCATCAGATGTACAGTACAGTGTAATACACCATCATATGTACAGTACAGTGTAATACACCATCAGATGTACAGTGTGTAATACACCATCAGATGTACAGTACAGTGTAATACACCATCATATGTACAGTACAGTGTGTAATACACACACCATCAGAAATACAGTACAGTGTGTAATACACCATCAGATGTACAGTACAGTGTGTAATACACCATCAGATGTACAGTACAGTGTGTAATACACCATCAGATGTACAGTGTGTAATACACCATCAGATGTACAGTACAGTGTGTAATACACCATCAGATGTACAGTACAGTGTGTAATACACCATCAGATGTACAGTGTGTAATACACCATCAGATGTACAGTACAGTGTGTAATACACCATCAGATGTACAGTGTGTAATACACCATCAGATGTACAGTACAGTGTAATACACCATCATATGTACAGTACAGTGTGTAATACACCATCAGATGTACAGTACAGTGTGTAATACACCATCAGATGTACAGTGTGTAATACACCATCAGATGTACAGTACAGTGTAATACACCATCAGATGTACAGTGTGTAATACACCATCAGATGTACAGTACAGTGTGTAATACACCATCAGATGTACAGTACAGTGTGTAATACACCATCAGATGTACAGTACAGTGTAATACACCATCAGATGTACAGTGTGTAATACACCATCATATGTACAGTACAGTGTAATACACCATCAGATGTACAGTGTGTAATACACCATCAGATGTACAGTACAGTGTAATACACCATCATATGTACAGTACAGTGTGTAATACACCATCAGATGTACAGTACAGTGTGTAATACACCATCAGATGTACAGTACAGTGTGTAATACACCATCAGATGTACAGTACAGTGTGTAATACACCATCAGATGTACAGTGTGTAATACACCATCAGATATACAGTACAGTGTGTAATACACCATCAGATGTACAGTACAGTGTGTAATACACCATCAGATGTACAGTGTGTAATACACCATCAGATGTACAGTACAGTGTGTAATACACCATCAGATGTACAGTGTGTAATACACCATCAGATGTACAGTGTGTAATACACCATCAGATGTACAGTGTGTAATACACCATCAGATGTACAGTACAGTGTGTAATACACCATCAGATGTACAGTGTGTAATACACCATCAGATGTACAGTACAGTGTAATACACCATCAGATGTACAGTGTGTAATACACCATCAGATGTACAGTACAGTGTAATACACCATCAGATGTACAGTGTGTAATACACCATCAGATGTACAGTACAGTGTGTAATACACCATCAGATGTACAGTACAGTGTGTAATACACCATCAGATGTACAGTGTGTAATACACCATCAGATGTACAGTACAGTGTGTAATACACCATCAGATGTACAGTACAGTGTGTAATACACCATCAGATGTACAGTGTGTAATACACCATCAGATGTACAGTACAGTGTAATACACCATCAGATGTACAGTGTGTAATACACCATCAGATGTACAGTACAGTGTGTAATACACCATCAGATGTACAGTGTGTAATACACCATCAGATGTACAGTGTGTAATACACCATCAGATGTACAGTACAGTGTGTAATACACCATCATATGTACAGTACAGTGTAATACACCATCAGATGTACAGTGTGTAATACACCATCAGATGTACAGTACAGTGTAATACACCATCAGATGTACAGTACAGTGTGTAATACACCATCAGATGTACAGTACAGTGTGTAATACACCATCAGATGTACAGTGTGTAATACACCATCAGATGTACAGTGTGTAATCAACTAGTAAAAAAGCTTCTACTGGGTAACTGGCAAATATTTTGGCTTATAATTGTATCTTACTGTATATAAAGGATAGATAAATACTCAGTCTGTCTTAACGAGCATCACATCCACTAAAAGCTCTCTGTGAGCACCATCATGTGCCAACACCATCCAAATGATTTTCCAACATGACACACACACACGCACACGCACACGCACACACACACGCACAGTGGACTTATCAATCAATGATTTAACTTGTACAGTATAGCCCAATATAAAAAAATGTTGTCTGAAGGGGCTTCACAGTGTGTACACATGCCTATTGTCCTTAGACCCTCGAAGCGTACAAGGAACAACTCCCAAAGAAACCCCACGATTAATGGTGGAAAATTGGAATAAACATCAGGGAGAGCAACAGAGGAGGATCCCTCTCCCAGAGAGGTAGAGATAGGATACAGTTTTGAAGACACAAAAAGGATCATTTCGAGTATACATAAAAAAGAGGGATCATAAAAGCAATAATCTTTCAGGTGTCCCCAAAAAATGATAACATGAGAGCAAGCAGGATCACAGCAACAGGACTCGTGATCCAGACATCACCTTTAAAGGTCTCCTAGTACGCTATTTTTAGGCATATATTATGGGTCTCATATAAAAATATATAAAAATGTCAATGATGTGTTTTGCTCAAAATACCAAACAGACAATGCATTTTAGACATCGCTCATATCCCTCTATTTCAGCCCTGTTATGGCGCATTTCCACCATGGCGCGGAGCGCGGTTTAAGCGTGCCGTGTCGTGCCGGGCCCGTTTTTTGGTTGCGCTTCCACTAGGCCTAGTTCCGGCCCGGGGCCACTTTTTCACCTCTTTTCTGGCCCGACAAAATCGTGGTTCTATCGGGGCCAACAAACAGGGCTGAGTCGGGCTGAGTATGCTAAACTAGAGAGAGAATCGCTGGCAAGGAGGCTACAACTACAACAAGATGAACATATTTGACCGTGATTTAATTGTAATACACGTTTCAAAATGATGCCGAAGTAACAACATACTGATACCGGTTAGTAAAAACCATGAATTAATGCTTTGGCAAGTCTGCAGATAGACGGCAGGCGAAAAACCTTTTAAAATGCGTGTTTTCTAGATGGAGATTGGCTAAGCTAACTCAATATATGCTCCGACCGTCCACACTCACAACAACGGCCTATACAGACATAAATAAAGCAGCGACTGTATTCACCATGACACAGGCAGTCTGTGGTTTGTACTTGTTTAACTTTTGTCTAGTTTCTGAACAGATATGAGGAGCTCTGAGTGCTAACAGCTAACGGCTGTGTTGTTTTTCTGGGGTTCTCATTGAAGATGACGTCACGGCTCCGCCTACACTGCGTTACTATAGATACTACCCCAGTTCCTAAACTGTAATGGAAGCGCAGCATGAAGTGAGCCGGCCCTAACAAGGCCCAACGCGGCCTAGCAGTACCGAGCGAGGCCGACCGTGTGGTGGAAATGCGGCATTAGAGAACTGCAAGTTCGGGGTCTTTAGCTTGAACAAAAAAAAGAGGAGGGGGAGCTAATGCCTGCCCTTAATTCTACCGGAGATAAAGCTAAATGCTGCCGTGATTAAACGCCATATCATGTTCCAAACACATCAAGGATTATTTATGAAACAGTATGGAGCTCAAATGCTTTTTCTCTCTCAGGCGAGTTCCTTTTATTATTTCCTGCTTTTTTTACACACACTCTCTCCAGTACAGGTTAGCTCTGAGTGTTAGCGATGCTTGCTAATGTAAACAAAGACCATATTACGTCCAAAACACGTCGGGCATTGTTTCTGACAGCAACTTTCTGATAGGGCCATGGGTCCACATTGCCGATGTTTACGTCATATCGGACGCAAATCTGGATCAGCTCCGTTGTACCCCCGTTTTTAGAGATTTGGGTAAAGAGAGGAAAAGAGAGAGGGTTTTGTTTTCTGACACTTTGTGAGTTCCCTGACACACCGGGGACACATATTAATGTCAAAATACATCAAAAAGTGCATTGAGCATAATAGCTCCCCTTTAATACTGGCCACCTGCCGGGTGAGTGTCATGACAAACTGATGCTGAGTTTCTAACAGGCATTCATGAGTGCACACAGATAAGGAGAGAACGAGAGGTGGGAGAATTGAGGTGAAAGTCCCTGCACAGCATATCGCTGTTCTCCCATGTCCAGTTGGTGACTGTGAGACCTATTCAGGTCTTTCCTTCAATTGGTCCCCTTCACATGACTTTGCCTCTAAGAAGGTTTTTGGAATATATCTATATAACCTGCAGTGGATTTTAAGACACCAGAGGGGCCTGTCAGCTTCCTGTCAGTAAGAACTATATGCCTATCATCCCAAGCAGAGTATAGCACTGTAGCACTTTAAAACATGCTTTACCTTTCTCCAATGGAAGCTTTGATGAGCACTGAGATGAACATGCATACATTTTGAAACATTTTTCAGTAAAAAACGTACATACACTCCTGGGTCAGCACCATAGACTGTATATATAAAGGTCAGCACCAAAGGCCAATTCCACAAAGCCATGGACGTAGTGTAGGATTTAGAAGCTAAAGAGTCAGATATTTCGAACTTGAGAGCAGAAAAGTAGCTACAAGAAAAACATGTTTTACTCACATTCAACATAAATGCAAATAAAAGCGTATGAGGCTAGATGTGTAAATAGTAAAGTGCCTTATCAACTTAATGAGGTAATGATATATCACTGTTGTGTTCCCAGCTTGTTCGACAATGGAGGTAAAGTAATTAAAATCATCAACCTCTCTCTTGGAATGAATTATTATTGACAAATGCTCGTGGATTTTACAAGAATACATAGAAGTTTGGATAGAATAATAAGAAATCAAGATCAACTAAGTTATGTCAGTTCAGAAACAAGGGAGAGAGTGAACACAAAATTGGTTTGAAACAATGAAATCACTGCTCCACTTTTTGCCCATCCACCGTCTGCGTGTCAGCCTGCAGTGCAACCGAGCTTACGTTCTCCGGCTATTCTTTATTATTGTTGTCATTGGTAAACACCACACATCTGCCTGATCATGTCGACTTCCCATTGGTTTAACGGGTTGTCTTTCGCAGTACTTCCGTCCGTTTGGCCGGTTTGATTGGTCGACGCCGCTCTCTTTTCCTCTTCTTCGCGTCGGTGGGTCGGAGCGGCTGTGTCCCCGGTCTGGCACGTTCTTAGCCAAATTCTCCACGGTGTAAAATTGGAAACCCCCCTTTTCACAAAACCAAAAAAAAAACCATTCAATTCCCTTTAACCATTTACAGGTTCCCACTGAACGCACACTACCCCCCCCCCCCCCCCCCCCCCCCCCCCCCCCCCCCCCCAGGTCTGAAGATGGCGGTGGTTAGCTGGATGTCGGGGTCTGTAGCCCGACTGGAGGGCCGAGAATTCGAGTATCTGATGAAGAAAAGGTCGGTGACCATCGGCCGGAACTCTTCGCAGGGTTCGGTGGACGTCAGCATGGGACACTCCAGCTTCATCTCCCGGCGGCACATCGAGATATTCACCGCGGGAGAAGACGGCACCGGCACGGGGGAGTTTTATCTGCGGTGCCTCGGGAAAAACGGGGTGTTTGTTGATGGGGTGTTCCAAAGGAGAGGGGCGCCTCCTCTCCAGCTCCCCCGAATGTAAGATCCCAGGCTGGGTTGCTTCACTGCACAGATCTGCGGGTCAGCGGCTCGTGTGTTGTTGTTGTTGTGTTGCAGCGTGGTGCACGTGCTGTGTGGGTGGACACACAGCTCCATGCCGGATCTGCCAGATAACCTAAACCTGATTCATGGTCCTTATGTCGAGAGTTTACAAACTAACTATACATCTCGAAATTGTAAAATGATTTGGTTTCTCCAAACGGAAGACCGTGTGCTGCTCTCCCACACAACATGGCAGCAACATAATGATAGTTAAACTGATGCATGCATCCATACTCTTGGTGGAACATGATTTACCCACACACAGAGAGTAGTGGGGATGTTTGATTACAGAGTGATAGAACATAATGTTTGTGTGTTAGCAGAGTGCATCGGTATCAGCATGGCCTCATGTGTGTCTGTGTTTACCCCAAAAGCCCCCCCCTACACTGTTGTACTTCTGGTAACTAATTTCACATTTTATCTTCATATATATTTTGGTATGATATGGCAATGTTGTTGCCATCATACACCATAGTGGTAATTCCTGGTCCATATTTAAACTGAGTCTGGGTCTCGGTAGACCTCCTCGGTCTGCTTGTTGCCAGGCAGGAAGTTGTCCTATTGGCTCATTGGCACTGTAATAAACATTGCCTTTCTGATGTTCAAATGTGGACATACTATGTGTTACATAGTCATTTGCATGGAAATTGTCTGGACATTAATCACACACTTGATGTTCTTTGTTTGTGCTTTCCTTTGGTTCCCAGGTGTTGTTTCCGGTTTCCCAGCACAACTATAAAGATCACGTTCACAGTCCTGTCCAATGAAAGGAAGGAGCCCAGGAACGTGCCAGAATCACCAGTTAAACCTATCCAACCCCAAATCTCCCCACTGACCATCAACATTCCTGACAACATTGCCCACCTCATAAGCCCCCAGCTTTCCCCAACGGGCACCCTCAGGTGGGAGAGCTCTGTTTCTCTTCTGTGCAATGCTCAGAGCACGTAGAAGTTTACAACAATATCATATACTAAATGTTTTTTTTATTTGATTTTTCAGTGCGGCAAACTCCTGTCCATCAAGTCCGCGGGGGGCGGGCTTCTCCAGCTACAGGCCGAGCCGTGTTCTGGCCTCGGACTTGATAGGCGACAACTCCCAATCAGAAAATGACAAGGAGGCCTCCGGTGAAGACAGCCCAAAGGTGAGAGGGCGAGGAAACTCTTAGTGTGCTTCATTTTCAAATATATTTTAAGGAATATATATTATTTTTTACGAAAGGGGCTGCAGGACAGAATGTCTGAACACCATCAACATGCCTGGTTACTCATTAAAAATGCTCACAACAACACAGACTTTGGAGTAGAGGACAGTGGACTAAGTCTGTGTTTGTGTTTCGGTCTAACAGGAACCTGGCTGACCTTACATTAACCAATCACATCTCCCCCTACCAGCACATGATGCAAAACTGTCTTTAATTTTCCACAGGACGACTCCAAACCTCCATATTCGTATGCACAGCTGATAGTCCAAGCTATCACCATGGCCGCAGATAAACAGCTGACTCTGAATGGAATATACACCCACATCACCAAGAACTACCCCTACTACAGAACAGCTGATAAAGGCTGGCAGGTCAGACTCTTCACTCTGCATGTCTAAGGTTGTAATGTTCCTTTATTTAAGGACTGTGTCATGTCACGTTATTGTAAATGCAAAAATCTGAGGCACTGTCAAACACGGGATTTACTGCTTTACTCTGTATTTATATCAATGTAATGGAAATGTGCGCAGGTTTTAGATGCCTTAAAGATTTCACTGTTGCCTTCAGGAAATTGAGACAGCATTTTTCATTCTGTCTTCTGTTGATAATAAATATGTCAGTGAAGTGCACTGCAGACTGGAGTCTCTTCTGACAGGGACAGTGTCTCATGGTGGCTCTGACATGTTGAATAGAGCTGTGTCATGTAACTGTTGGTAACCATCAGTTACTGTCTATTGTAAACCTCAGAAATCATCAAAGTAAACTCGGACCGTCACAAAACCATCAAATAAAGTGGAGCTGCTTTGATTTCTGAAGTCTTCCTTAGTTCAATCAATAGACTGGTGTTTAATATTAACATGAACTGGTTTCAGCTGCATCTTTTTTGTTAATTTAAGTAGTTTAAATTCTCTGCAAATAAATTCTCAAAATTACAATATTTTCATTTATAATTTGGCAGAAATGTTGTCATTACAGAATAGACCTTACCTTCATCACATACCTTTAAAGAGCTTAAAACCTGAGGGACATTTTTGCAGTGGTCCTTTACATGTTTAGCTGTATGTAAATGTATACATTGTATTTCTGTGCATATGTAAATGTATGAATGTGTGTGTTCTAGAACTCGATCCGGCACAACCTGTCCCTGAACCGGTACTTCATCAAAGTGGCGCGCTCTCAGGAGGAGCCGGGCAAAGGCTCCTTCTGGAGGATCGACCCCGCCTCGGAGGGCAAGCTGATGGAACAAGCCTTCAGGAAGCGCCGGCCGAGGGGGGTGCCCTGCTTCAGGACGCCCATGGGACCGCTCTCCTCCAGGTGACCCATGGGAGCTGTCAGCTACTATATGGTGCATATTCATATGGTGCGTGTCAGAACTCATCCTTTCTGTCCTCTGTCCCAGGAGCGCTCCGGCCTCCCCTAGCCACACGGGGGCCCTGTCTGTGTCCAGCGGGGTTCAGACTCCAGAGAGCCTGTCCAGAGAGGGCTCCCCTGTCCCCATGGAGCCAGAGCCAACCCCCCCGCAAGCCCAAATCACTACAGTCCAGCCCAAAGTCGCTGTGATCCAAGAGGCCCGCTTCACACAGAACTCCAACGGTAAAGATTTATCCTCTCAAGATGATCTGTACACAAAGTGACCATTCTCTGTTTAAATGTACTACATGGAGTATTTAACTGGTGACAAAACAGTCTTTTTGAAATACTGATGACTCTGTATGACCTACATAAGTTAGTGGGACCCCCCAGCTTGGTTTTTTGCTATTCTTATTGCTTGTCATCGGGTCCATTTCCCCGGAACATCAGACAAAATGATTTCTAGTGTGCAGGTTCAACTGATACTCCTTCAGCTCAGGCTCAAGATAGTGGGGGGTCCCCTCAAGCTGTCCAGGACCTTATGTGCTTAAGATTAAGATGAACCTTTATAGAATTGAAAGTGGAAATTCAGTTTTCCACTCTGTTAATATATATTTTTTGGGATACACACGGTACAAATACACACATGCCTTGGAATACAGGTCTATGTGCACACATGAACATGCATTATAAAAAGGTTCCAGAACAAAGAGGCTGCTGTCTGTCAGGCGCCAGGGAGCAGTTGGGGGGGTTCGATGCCTTGCACCAGGGACCTCGGCCAGGATGTGAACTGGCACCTCTCCAGCTACCAGTCTACATTCCATTTGAGTTTGGTCTGATTGGGACTTGAAACGGCGATTCTCCAGTTAGGTCAAGTAAGTCAAGGCCGACAGACTGAGCTACTGCCTTCCACTGGTCAGGACACCAGGCTGCTGGACGCCTGGTGCCTGAGGTAAGGGAGGCCCAGCAGAACCAGAACCAGGAGAGTGGAGCAGACTCAGTGAAACGAGAGGACTGCAGACCCCACAGCGGTGCCCAAATATCACCAGGATGAAAGTCATGTCAATGTAGTAACCTTAACTCGTTTTTTTGTGTGGAGTAATTGTTTATGTTGCCAGAAGTGAAAGGCAGTACATTTTAGTGAGACAGCTTGTCAGTAACCTGCGCCCCCCCCCTGACAGGCCCCCCCCTCAGCAACCAGCCGGTCCTGATCGCTGTGCAGCGCCAGATGCCTCAAACCACCATGAAGCCAGTGACCTATGCCATGGCGTCGCCAGCCATAGTATCAATGTCAGTTAGCTCCGCCCCCGTCATGCAGACGGTGCACGTTGTCCACCAGATCCCAGCCGTCACCATGGCAACTGTTGCCGGAGAGCCCACTGCTACAGTGAGCCCGAAACCTCATGAGAATGGAGGAGCAGCGCACCGGGGGATCAAACGTAAGAGCTGCTTCAGTCTGTGATGAGTGTGTGTTGGGCTGTGTGTGTGTTGGGCTGTGTGTGTGTTGGGCTGTGTGTGTGTTGGGCTGAGTGTGTGTTGGGCTGTGTGTGTGTTGGGCTGTGTGTGTGTTGGGCTGTGTGTGTGTTGGGCTGAGTGTGTGTTGGGCTGTGTGTGTGTTGGGCTGTGTGTGTGTTGGGCTGTGTGTGTGTTGGGCTGTGTGTGTGTTGGGCTGTGTGTGTGTTGGGCTGTGTGTGTGTTGGGCTGTGTGTGTGAGCAGAGCGTGACATGTGTGTTTCTACCCCTGCAGTTAAAGTGGAGTCAGTGCCCCCCCTCACAGCCTCCTCCATAGGGGGAGTCAGCCGCATCGTGCAGGCTCCTCTGACTACACTCACCATCCTGCAGCAAGCCCCCCCGCTGGGCCAGCACCAGCTCCCCATCAAGACCCTCTCACAGAACGGGACCCACCTGCTCCCCATCACCACTGCTGCCAGCACAGGTGACCCCCCTCCCACATTATTCTATGAATTGCCTATATTGTAATTGTATTATGTTAGTTATTCTCTACACACTCACCTGTGTGTGAGGGGCCTCTCCTCTCTGACCTTCTCACTAAATGCATTCACACACATGGTGTGTATCCTCGAGACCTATCTAATATTCAACATCTGTAAAGCAGTACCTTACTGTGTGTTTAGGATGTTCACTAACCAGCTCTTCCTGCTTCACTGCATGCTTACTTTGGTGGAACAGCATGGAACTCTTCTTTCTCCTCTCCCTCTGTCTTCTGTCCTCTCTGTCCTCTCTGTCCTCTGTCTTCTGTCCTCTCCCTCTGTCTTCTGTCCTCTCTGTCCTCTGTCTTCTGTCCTCTCTGTCCTCTCCCTCTGTCTTCTGTCCTCTCTGTCCTCTCTGTCCTCTGTCTTCTGTCCTCTCTGTCCTCTCCCTCTGTCTTCTGTCCTCTCTGTCCTCTGTCTTCTGTCCTCTCTGTCCTCTGTCTTCTGTCCTCTCTGTCCTCTCTGTCCTCTGTCTTCTGTCCTCTGTCCTCTGTCTTCTGTCCTCTCCCTCTGTCTTCTGTCCTCTCCCTCTGTCTTCTGTCCTCTCTGTCCTCTGTCCTCTCCCTCTGTCTTCTGTCCTCTCCCTCTGTCTTCTGTCCTCTCTGTCCTCTGTCTTCTGTCCTCTCCCTCTGTCTTCTGTCCTCTCTGTCCTCTGTCTTCTGTCCTCTCCCTCTGTCTTCTGTCCTCTCCCTCTGTCTTCTGTCCTCTCCCTCTGTCTTCTGTCCTCTCTGTCCTCTGTCCTCTCCCTCTGTCTTCTGTCCTCTCCCTCTGTCTTCTGTCCTCTCCCTCTGTCTTCTGTCCTCTCTGTCCTCTGTCCTCTCTGTCCTCTGTCTTCTGTCCTCTCTGTCCTCTGTCTTCTGTCCTCTCTGTCCTCTGTCTTCTGTCCTCTCTGTCCTCTGTCTTCTGTCCTCTCTGTCCTCTGTCTTCTGTCCTCTCTGTCCTCTGTCTTCTGTCCTCTCCCTCTGTCTTCTGTCCTCTCTGTCCTCTGTCTTCTGTCCTCTCCCTCTGTCTTCTGTCCTCTCTGTCCTCTGTCTTCTGTCCTCTCCCTCTGTCTTCTGTCCTCTCTGTCCTCTCCCTCTGTCTTCTGTCCTCTCCCTCTGTCTTCCCCGTCCTCTCCCTCTGTCTTCTGTCTTCCCTGTCCTCTCCCTCTGTCTTCTGTCCTCTCCCTCTGTCCTCTCCCTCTGTCTTCTGTCCTCTCTGTCCTCTCCCTCTGTCTTCCCTGTCCTCTCCCTCTGTCTTCTGTCTTCTGTCCTCTCCTTCTGTCTTCCCTGTCCTCTCCCTCTGTCTTCTGTCTTCCCTGTCCTCTCCTTCTGTCCTCTCTGTCCTCTCCCTCTGTCTTCTGTCCTCTCTGTCCTCTCCCTCTGTCTTCTGTCTTCTGTCCTCTCCTTCTGTCTTCCCTGTCCTCTCCCTCTGTCTTCCCTGTCCTCTCCCTCTGTCTTCTGTCCTCTCTGTCCTCTCCCTCTGTCTTCTGTCTTCTGTCCTCTCCCTCTGTCTTCCCTGTCCTCTCCCTCTGTCTTCTGTCTTCTGTCCTCTCCTTCTGTCTTCCCTGTCCTCTCCCTCTGTCTTCCCTGTCCTCTCCCTCTGTCTTCCCTGTCCTCTCCCTCTGTCCTCCCTGTCCTTGGCTCAAGGAGCTGTAGCTTAAGCAGTATATCATAAAAGCAGAAATGTGAGGTCATAGCTTTAACCTGTCGTTACCCCCTTCTTCTTCTCTCTTCCAGCCGTTGCAAACCCCCTCCACCTCCTGGCGGCCCACGCCTCCGTCTCTGCGTCCCTCCCCACCAAGAGGCAGAACGGCGAACTTCAGGACACCCCCCAAACAAAGAGGGCGAAAAAAGAGGAGGGGGAGGCAGCAGCCACTTACAACAACGGCACCACGGACAGAGCCGGAGAGGGCGTGGTCAGTGAACAGTTTAGTGACAAGTAGCCCCCCCTCTGCATCCTGAACCCCTCTCTCCTGTAACCCCCCACCCTCCATCATCTACTCCAAGATGCAAAAAAACAGAAGAGTGGGAAACCCCTGCAGGACTCCAGAATGTTACACCTCTCCTATATATTTCAACACGATGCAAAAACTGAAGACCACATTTGAAAATGGAATGAAGGAGTTGCTGATTACTGAATCCCTGAAGCTGAGCCAGATGGCCAAAAGAAATCCAGATTTCCAGATCAAAAGCGACGTGGCCGTGTGAAGATCTCCAGCTTCACTGTGAGGGGAGGCCGGAAGCCCCCCCCCCCCCCCCCCGGTGGAGTGGGCAGGGTGAAGGTGTACGGACATTCCCATCTTCGGCAGCTAGCCTCCATGTGGACCTCCCTCCCCAGTTGTGAGTAGATATGCAGTATTCCGTTGTACCAGTGTATCTCCCCGGGCACAGATACTATCTAGTAATAAATAAGATAATTAAAAGCTATAGTGGGCTCTATAAGGACTTTACCCATCAGAACGTGATCTTTTGGAACTCCTTTTTTTGTTATGTGGACTCTTTGTTCAGTGCAATGAATGTAGTCTCCCTTTTCCTTTAAAGAAAACACTATCTATGGAGTGGATGTTTTTTTCTGCTCATTCATGCAAATTAAATTCCTTTCATCACTGTACATCTACAGATTTTTCATATTTTACAAATATCCTGAGATAAGAAGTATATACCCGTACGTATTTGACCATATGCTTCATCAAGCTTGCATGTTCTGATCTAGAGACAATGTTCTTGATCAGATCATCTGAATATGGAACTGAGAAGAGTTAGACTGAATCTACACTAATGATTCTGACCAGTGCTGCACTTAACCCTCTTCCATCCTTCCCTCACCATGGGCTGTGGTACCTTTGTTTTCAAGCTTGATTATTTGATTCTGTTCAGGCTATGAAACAGTCTCTTCAGATCTATGTTACACAAGGAAAAAAGTGATGGGTGTTCATTCTGCTTCAGTGGGTAAATGCTTTTTTTATAAATGTATTTAAAACACATAACCTCCCAGTTTGTATTTCTTTGAGTAAAAGCCTTCACTGATACGTACTCCCAGTTTGTCTGTATGACCAATTGTTTTCTCTGAGAATGAAGAAAGATGATCAGACGTTTACCAGCTGAGCTCAGTTCTGTCCAGAACTGGAGTTTATACGTCTAACGGTTCCTACGTCTATTACCAGCTTTCAGAGGTAATCTGGTTTTATTCCTATGTGTAATACGACCTGGTGTTATACATGCTGTCTTACACACACAGCTCAGGCTATCTGCTGTTACTGATCCAACACAGGGCTGTGTATCCATGCACACAGAACATGAGGCCACACACACACTGAAAGTGTGTTTACCGCCTACTGTCATGGCAGACACTGATCAGGGGGCCGAGACTAAGCCAGTGTATGAGATCAGTGCATCCATATTTCACTCTGAATAGATGTCACTTATTTATACATACAGTATACAGCCTGGAAGCCATTACACCATTCAAATGTACACAATCCGTAAGGAGGCTCCCTTTTTCATAAGGGCAAACCAAAGTGTGACGCAAATAAGTTCAGTTCTGACCTCACAGTGGAACAATTATAAAAAATCTAATATTCCATTCGTACCTGGTGGTTACAAAAAACAGCTTAGATATCTTATTTTTTATAATCCAATTGAAAGAAAATGATTTTTTAATTCAAAATTCATGTCAACCTTTATAAAAAAACAACTAACAGTTTTGGTCTTTGGTGAAATTTCAGGAATGCCCAGTCATGTTTCTAGCTGTCCTCTGGTGTGTTCATGTCTGTGAGTAAGATGGGGGGTTTTATCTAATGTGGGTTTTTTGGTGTCTTTATGCTAGGGAGAACTATAAAGGAACCAAACGTGAATTTCATTTCTGATTTTCATTTCTCAAAGGAGAACCGGTGATTCACAGAACAGGTATATTGCTGTAGCAAACACAAATAATCAATTTCTGTTGGAAAACCTTCAAAATATTCGTGGTGCCCTAAACATTGAATGAGCAGTCAAATTGTTCAGTTTCAGTTCAACAGACACACTACACTTGTATCAAAGGCATGAAGCAGCCCAACATGTTTAACTGTAAAGCAGATTTTACATTTATTCACCAATTTAAATGCAGGTTTTACAATCATTCTGAGTGTCAGACACAAGTTGGCGTTTCAGTTTGTGCGGCCTCCTGCTGTGTTCAGCAGACCCACATGGATGATGGACAATCTGATGCAGGAAGCAACTCAGTGTTCTTACACTGAATCAAGAAAATGCTGTCCTCAACATGACAAATAAAAAAAGGGAATATTCTATTATTCATTTACAGTTTCACTTCTGACAAGAGTCCTTGTGGTAGATCCAATCTGCCTCCGGTTTATGGCGACACTTGGACAAAGCCCTGCTGAGTCCCGAAGAGCAGCAGCTGAACATGTGTGTGGCCTCGGCTTGCTGAAGCAGTTTAGAGGACACCAGAGGGACCAGAGGCCTGTACTACGAAGCCGGTTCAACATACCCTGGATATGTTTGAGTTACCCGGTTTACCTAATCCAAAACAAATGCGCTCTCGCTAAGCGGTCCTACGATGCTGGTTATCAACTCGGTAACTCAAGCCAGGGTTTCTCTGTCCGCCGTGTCCGGCTGAGTGCGCGTTCACATGAAAGGGGCGGGGGTTAGCAACACTTGACCAATCACAAACATGGACAAGCGTACTGACAGCGCAGCGTCATACTTCCTGAATGAAAAGTCAACTATAATATGAGACAAATATGAAGAAGTTAAACTTTAAACATCCATGACTTAAACACTTTATCCAGGATCAAAGCCACATAGCTGCACCTGCAAGGTGAATACAGCTGGTAAAAGAAAAAGTGTTTGAATGCGTACATTAACAGGTTTATGAAATCACTGCCCCGTCTAAGACACGAGTGGATCTGACTTTAATTACATTTGACTCGAGTGTTTCGTCAACTTAATGTGTTGCTTAAAATAATACTTCTGCATACAGTATGTGACACTGTGAGTGTTGCACGGCCAGATACGGCTCAGCTGACTCAGATAAGGAAATATATGACACATTATGATGTGATATGATATGAATGATAATGGGACACATCGACGTCTGCACTCACAGTGCCGCGGACTGTACGTAATGTTACTTTGATCCGGTTACTTATGTTGTGGCAGATATTTAAGTAAGCTTTCTTAACGCTAATGTTATAATAGTCAGATTGCTCTGAAGATGGGAGGGGATATTCTATCAATTTTCACGTTCACACAGTCGGTGGTTTTTGCCGGACGTCTTTCCTGCAACGACAGTTTAAACTGTATTTCCTTTCTCCTGTAATATGACTTGATAGCTTTAAACTCCGCACACGGAGCTCTGATTGGTCAGCAGGCGGTGCTTTCACTGAGTTGATCTCTTATCCTGGAAGCTAACCTGGGGCCTATACTACGAATCTAGTTCAACATATCTTGGATATGTTTTGAGTTATCCGGTTGACTTAATCCAAAACAAACCCGCTCTCGCTAAACTGTCCTACGACGCTGGCTATCAACTTGATCGCTCAAGCCAGCCGTGTCCTATCTAGTTAGGTGCGCGTTCACATAAAAGGGGTGGTATTTGGTATTTTTTCATATTTGTCTAATATTAGTTGACTTTTCATTCAGGAAATATATGACGCGCTGCGCTGTCAGTACACGGCTTGTCCATGTTTGTGATTGGTCGATCGCTCCAAATACCACCCCTTTTATGTGAACGCGCACCTAACTAGATAGGACACGGCTGGCTTGAGCGATCGAGTTGATAGCCAGCGTCGTAGGACAGTTTAGCGAGAGCGGGTTTGTTTTGGATTAAGTCAACCGGATAACTCAAAACATATCCAGGATATGTTGAACTAGATTCGTAGTATAGGCCCCTGGGGGGTATACTACGAATCAAGATTTTCGTTTAGCAAGCTAACTTCAGGGGTTTCCGGTCCTACGAAGCTGGTTCACTTCTTAGCGGGCTAGATAACTTATTCTGAACGGCTATCCTCCGGAGCAGGATAGGTTCCAGGATAAAAGCACTGCCTGCTGACCAATCAGAGCTCATTGTGCGGAGTTTAAAGCGATCAATTCATATGACAGGAGGAGAAAGGAAATACAGTTTAAACTGTCGTTGCAGGAAAGACGGCCAGCCAAAATCACCGACTGTGTGAGCGTGAACATTAATAGAATATCCCCTCCCATCTTCAGAGCAATCTGACTATTATAACATTAGTGTTAAGAAAGCTTACTTAAATATCTGCCACAACATAAGTAACCGGATCAGAGTAACATTACGTACAGTCCGCGGCACTGTGAGTGCAGACGGCGATGTGTCCCATTATCATTCATATCACATCATATCACATCATAATGTATCATATATTTCCTTATCTGAGTCAGCTTCTTGAGCCGTATCTGGCCGTGCAACACTCACAGTGTCACATACTGTATGCAGAAGTATTATTTTAAGCAACACATTAAGTTGACGAAACACTCGAGTCAAATGTAATTAAAGTCAGATCCACTCGTGTCTTAGACGGGGCAGTGATATCATAAACCTGTTAATGTACGCATTCAAACACTTTTTCTTTTACCAGCTGTATTCACCTTGCAGGTGCAGCTATGTGGCTTTTATCCTGGATAAAGTGTTTAAGTCATGGATGTTTAAGGTTTAACGTCTTCATATTTGTCTAATATTAGTTGACTTTTCATTCAGGAAATATATGACGCGCTGCGCTGTCAGTACGCTTGTCCATGTTTGTGATTGGTCGAACACTCCAAATACCACCCCTTTTATGTGAACCCGCACCTAACTAGATAGGACACGGCTGGCTTGAGCGATCGAGTTGATAGCCAGCGTCGTAGGACCGTTTAGCGAGAGCGGGTCTTTTTTTTTATTTAGTCAACCGGATAACTCAAAACATATCCAGGATATGTTGAACTAGATTCGTAGTATACCCCCCCTGGTTAGCCGTTCAGCATAAGTTACCATGGAGATCTAGCCTGCTAAGAAGTGAACCAGCTTCGTAGGACCGGAAACCCAGAGTTTTCCCTGAAGTTAGCTTGCTAAGCGAAAATCCGGCTTTGTAGTACAGGCTCAGGACTCCAGCTGTGACTGGCCAACACGGACTTCTGACTTCATTATAACGTATGAATATTACACAAGATGTGCCGTCTTTAACCTCTCTAGGTCGTCCTCAGACGAGTCCTCCACTTCATGGTTGGCTTTACTATGCTGATTAAGGACTGGGGGGCGCAACTCCTCTCAGTCCTGGTTTTAGTTCAGAGTGTCCTTCTCCTAGATGGGTTGCCTTCCATGGCTATGAGCCCCATCTGCCCCTGCTATTTGCCCATAGCTGGGACAGTCGGTAGCACTTGGTCTTTCCGGGACTTGAACTGGTGACCTTCCAGTTGCCAAGCCAAGTCCCTATGGACTTCGCCACCACCGCTGCCAGAGTCTACATTTTATAGCTGATCAGGTTAGAGTCTCACACGTTTTTTTTTGTGATCGAGTCTGTTTGGCCTCTTCAGCAAGGAACAGCAAACGCTAAAATAAATAGTTCAATGGTTCAGGAAATGTGCTTAGAAATAGTTTGACATTGTTTGCCAAATGCATATTATTTGCTTTTCTCACACAGTGAGTTAAGATCTATACCAATATCTTCATCGCTCAGTAAGAAAGCACATTATTGCATTAGGTAATAAATGTCAAACTATTTTTTAATCTTCCGGGTCACATCCTGTCACAAGCTCTTCACAAAAAGCATTTGGGGAACACATTGCAAAATGTATGAAAAAAAGGACGACGGAAACAAATAAATGTTTTTGCTTCTATTCTGTACAGTTCTATTGAGTTAGAAGTTCAGTCTGGTGCTTTGTGTTTATACAGTGAATTTAAGAAAATCTATTAATACTAAGGTGACACTTACAATACAGAATCAGTGTGTTCCGATGCAACTGCATTCTGATTCAGATGTGAACACCTAATGTGGTACATTGGTATATACACAAACAAGTATAGATGACAAAGACAATATGTGCACACATACAGCTTCTCTCCAGTCTGAGGCACTCCCTATAGTTAGGTTAGGTGGTAAATTGAAAAAAATCTCAATATTTTCAATCCATGGAACTACCAGAGTCATATCTTAAGATCCTTTGTAAATTCCTCGGAAGACGTCTTAAAAAGCTGCATGTTTTAGATTCAAAAAATACCTTTCACTCTTCTTTAGTGTTTGGTTTGGGAGTCAAGTCTGCATCAGAGACAACCCTCTGTGTCCCTCTGTCCAGAGACAACCCTCTGTGTCCCTCTGTACAGAGACAACCCTCTGTGTCCCTCTGTCCAGAGACAACCCTCTGTGTCCCTCTGTCCAGAGACAACCCTCTGTGTCCCTCTGTCCAGAGACAACCCTCTGTGTCCCTCTGTCCAGAGACAATCTTCAGGAGTCTGAGAAAAACAAAAGTCTTCATCCATCTGATCAGCTTCCCCAGTCTTTGTTCCTCTCTTCAACGGATGCTCTTTAACAGAGTCTGTAAAGAGAAGTGCATCATGGGACCTTCCCTCCAAAATAAAATAAGTACAGAAAAAATTAAATCCGCCTGTGATGCAGCAAGTCTCCAGAGGGGTCAAAAGTCATATTTTCTCATCGGTCATCTCCAGGAACTGGGCGTACACGTCTCTAGAACACTCCCCTTTCTGGTTGAACAGGAACTTGTAGTAGCTGCCGTCAGCACAAATGGCTGCAGAGTGGAAGAGAGAAGCGAGAGCAGAATACACTCAGTCAGCAAGAGGAGGGTTTATTAGAGTACTACAGGGACACGAAGAGCGAAGTACAGTACACAGCTTGTTGGACTGTTGGACTCTGGAGGAGACACCTTGAATGAGTCCTGATGCTACTTCACTGCCAGAACAGAAACAACTAAGTTTCCCCTCACCAGAATACACTTCAGTCACATGATATGGATTATTATATAGGGTTGGATTTTGTACATTAATGTAGTGCCCATTGATGGCATTTTCCTACATGGCAAGGCAGCTTCCCGTCTTGATATGTAAAAAATGTGAGTGATATTGACACAGCTGTACAGAATGCTGTTAGGCTGAACAAAAACAATAAATGTGATAATCATGTGACTGGTTCTCTTAGTTTCCCATGTTAATAGTGCTGCAGTGATAATGTATAGTAGGACGACCCGGATGGTAGCATCACAAGGGCTCCCTCGAGTAAAAGCAATGGGATTATTTCATGATTTTGGAATATTGCAGAAAGTAAGATCAGTGGCAAACACATTTTTATGATACTTACACATTTTGGATAATCTTCACATATTAACAGCCCTTTATGATTTTTAAAGCGTAAATGCAATCACCAGAAGTAAAAAGCTAATGATAGGATACAAGCAAAGTATGTGTGTTTTTATGACACATAGAAGCTTCAGACATTCACCAGTGGGTTATTTACTGACTTATTTTACATCTTAGTAGAAAAGGGAAAATCTAGCCAAAAATATGTTCCAAAATCCATTGACTTTGAGACAAGGAAACCAAAGTGCTAAAATGCTGACTCATTCCCTGGTTTTATCTTATTTATTCTCATTCTTACACCACGTGATAACATGGTTTGTTTATCGTGATGTGATTTTTTTCCTTGACCTGTCTTACTTCTTTTTAGTGATGTTACTTTGATTTGAAAGGACGGCTTAAACTCTCAAAATAAAACACAATTCATGGTACAGAAATGTGATGTCAGCAGTAGTTCTCCTCATAATGACACCCACAGAGTGTGAGGGAACTTACCCATTACAGCGTTGGGCTCTGTTCCAAAGGCACACACACAGGGGGAGCCTGAGGGCACCTGGAACTTGGAGAAGCTCCACTTGGAGCTGAAGTATTTGGGAAGAAAGCTGGCTGAGGCCAAACTGTAGAGAGAAGGACACACAATTAATCCGGACACAAGTTCGCAGACAAAGTCCTCAAAGTTATTGAAGTGACTGTTATTTTGTATATATTGATTGTTGTGCTTTTATATATGTATATATTGATTGTTGTGCTTTTATATATAGGGGTGTAACGGGTGTAACGGTATACGTACTGAAATTATTCGGTATGGGCCCTTCGGTTCGGTACACATGTGTACCGAAGTGTACCGAACGAATATAACGTTAAACGTAAAAAATTGAGAACGTGAACAACTTTTTGGAAGTAATCGCAGGTGCTGTGTCGCAGCATTCAGTGTAATTTGCTCACATTGGGTTCAACGCGTCATAAAGCAACCAAGTCATTTGATTGGACTTTAATGGCGCGTTTCCACTACAGCGCGGAGCCCGTTTAAGAGAGCTGTGACGTCAGCGGCCCGTCTTTGGTTGCGTTTCCACTTGGCCTAGTACCGGCCGGCGGGTCCTAATTCACAGTTTTCCTGGCCCCATAAAATCGTGGTTCTAGGGCCAGAGACAACGAGGCTGAGTCGGGCTGAGTATGCTAAACTAGAGAGAGAATCGCTGGCAAGGGGGCTACAACTACAACAAGATGGACATATTTGACCGTGATTTAATTGTAATACACATTTCAAAATGATGCCGAAGTAACAACATACTGATACCGGTTAGTAAAAACCATGAATTAATGCTTTGACAAGTCTGCAGACAGACGGCAGGCGAAAAACCTTTTAAAATGCGTGTTTTCTAAATGGAGATTGGCTAAGCTAACGCAGTATATGCTCCGACCGTCCACACTCACAACAACGGCCTATACAGACATAAATAAAGCAGCGACTGTATTCACCATGACACAGGCAGTCTGTGGTTTGTACTTGTTTAACTTTTGTCTAGTTTCTGAACAGATATGAGGAGCTGTGAGCTCTGAGTGCTAACAGCTAACGGCTGTGTTGTTTTTCTGGGGTTCTCATTGAAGATGACGTCACGGCTCCGCCTACACTGCGTTACTATAGATACTACCCCAGTTCCTAAACTGTAATGGAAATGCGCCATAAAGTGAGCCAGTCCTAACGAGGCCTAGCCATACCGAGCGAGGCCGAGCGAGGCCGTGTAGTGGAAATGCGCCATTAGTCAGTAATTTGAGGAACTGGCAAAATGGCGAACGCAGATAAAGTTGAGCTCGAAAATCCTCCAGCATCATTAAAGTCTCCGGTTTGGGAACATTTTGGTTTCGCAGTTACGTACAAGGATGACGGACAAAGACAGGTGGAGCGAACCAAAGCTGTTTGTCGGCATTGTTCAACTAACATTGGTTACGCGGCTGGCAATACATCAAACTTGCACACTCATTTGAAAAGGCATCACCCGAACGTGAATATCATCGGTACCAAAAGAAAAATGACTGAAGTGCAAACCCAACTCCCACTAGCATTTAAGCCTCCACCACTCGCAACAAGTTCAGACCGAGCCAAAGCTATTACAAACGCCAAATATCCTTATGTTGCCATGTTAGCAAAGCGCTACCTGGCTGTATCTGCTACCTCTGTCCCTAGAGAGAGGGTGTTCTCCACAGCAGGAGACATTGTTAGTGCCAGCAGATCTGCCCTTTCGGCAAGCAATGTGGACAAGTTCATCTTTCTTAAAAAAACATGAAAATACAATGACAAGCCTAATGTCAAGCTGGCTGCTTAGGGGAGTACTAGTACAGTACAGTTCAAGTACAGATCATTTCAGATCATCGAAATGCTGCACCTTAATGTTTATTTTATTATATTTGTTATTTATTTGAGTGAATACATTATTCACAGTTTAATAATAATTAAAAAAAACCCAAAAAATATGTTATGTTTTGTGATCATTTTTTCTGCTGGACCGAAAACGTACCGAACCGTGACCTAAAAACCGAGGTACGTACCAAACCGAAATGTTTGTGAACCGTTACACCCCTAATATATATATATACATACATACATACACATACATATACACACATTCATATATATATATTTGTATACAATATTTTATATATATATATACATATTTTTATATATATACATAATTGTATACTATGAAGGTAGTATGGAACTGTATGGTGCAAAATGCGAGAGCTTGTAAAACCTGATGTGAGCACTTGCAGAAAAAAGATCTGAGCTTGTGTTCATACATTTACACTTGTATAAAACATCCACGTATCTGTGAACCACATTTGAAGTCACAGAAAGAAAAATAAGTTTTGTAGCTTGTAGAACAAAAATGAACTTAGTGATGAAATGTTCACTTGCAGAAAAATATATATTTTTAAAATATATTTTCCATTACAACTTGGTTATTACAACCTCTCAAATCAGTCATTACAACTTCCTGAATCTGCTCTGTGGCAGTATAAGTCGACGAATCTGCGGCTTTGACTTTTGCTACACTTCTTGCGATGAATGTGTCGCAAAAGTAATTTTCACCTGTAGATGTGGGGGGAGGGAGCGGGGAAGCGAAGGGGCGGAGCTATCAAAACAACAGGCGCAAACTGGGGTCAGTCACACACGCAGTCACAGCCACAGTCAGGTCGAACCTGCACACGCCCCTTTCACACCAACGCGGTTCCAGGGCCGGTTCGGAGCTTGAGCCTGATAAGCACCGGTTTTTCCTGTTCACGCCGCAGTGGAGCCGGCTCTTTTCCCCGAAAACCGGTTCTTACCAAGCTCGAAAAAATTGTCGGTCTAGAGCAGTGCTTCTCAAAGTGTGGTCCGCGGACCACTGGTGTTCTGTGAGCGCCCCCTAGTGGTCCGTGAGTATATTGGTAAAATTTCACATTTGAAATAAATAAATACATTTAAGTTTTCCGCACTCTCGCGGGAATATCTCCGCAATGAAGCGAGCTTAAGTTTCACTTTTGATTGCATGATATAGCCCAGCGCAACACCTTCGTCACACGTCACATGTTGCCACTGGTTTGTACCATTTTCAGGCGATTTGTAATCTTTTCTAGAAAAACGATGGATGTCTTTTATGAATATTTATCCATGCTGAAAGTAGATTTAGATGTTTTAGGAGTGAGATAGAGATTATAATATATGCATCCAATGAAGCATTGCATGAAGTCTGTTGATGATCAGAGGCTGTTGTTGGGGCTGCAAAAACGTTTTTTTATTTTTGTTTTGTAGGCAGACCATGCAGGCCAGCCCGATGGTCACCAAGGTTCATGTTTTAATAGCATTTTTACAAAAAAAGCCCACGCGAGCCTAACATGTGAAAAAATGGCTTAGACCTCAGAGAGTTAAACTTGGGCCTGCGACCATAGTTTTATTGTATTTTGTTTTGAAAATCCACAGCGGAGGTTTGTGTCGTACTACATGCGGTGTATTTTGCATTTCTCTCAGTAGCCAACGATCTGTGAGTCTGTTGGACATAAACTCCGTAATAAATGTAGTCTACATTTCATAAGAGGTGTAAAACCTGTGAGCATTTAAAATCGCATTTGAACTAAATGCTTATATAATCTGTAGTTGTATTTGTATTGTTGATTTAATGTGTGAACGAGGCGATACAGAGAAGGTTAAGCTGTCATTATTAGGCTGTGATTTGTTATATACTGTTGGAGTGGTAAGCAGGCCTATTGTTTTTGGATATTTGTGGAGTTAGGTGGTCCGCGAGTGTTTTTTTATTGGTTAAGTGGCCCTTGGTATGAAAGAGTTTGAGAAACACTGGTCTAGAGGCAAGAACCGCATACGTCACGCATACGCCGCGCTTACGTCGGAGGGGGGCGAGATTAACCTGAGCTAACAGTTTATGAGACAGAGAGTACGGCAAATAAAAGTTGAAACAAGCAGTAAACTGAGCAAAGTGACTAGAACGCAAACACACACTTGTAAAAAAGTCAGGCAACACTAACCAGGCTTCGTGTGATTCTGTTTATTTGTACCTTACTTTGACCATCCGTTCGCTGTTATTGATCATTGTGGAGAGAGGCAGACGTTTTGTTTTGTATTATAGCAGCTATCGGATGGAATCAATACATGGGCTGCACAGGTTGTCATGTCCGACTATCACAAGTAGAATCATAATGAAAAATACGCCGGTAAAATGTGTCTGTAGAAAACGGCTTATGCCACAATAGGATAGCAATAGCAAGTAGTCAGTTTAGCTTCGGTTGCTATGCTAACATCACCCATGTTATACCAGAGAAACTTTCATAACAGCGTTGTGATGCCAAACAGCGTCAATTCAGACTGACACACATTCACTTAAGGGGAACTGGGGATATGTATCAGCTGCTTGTGTGACAGTCAGACAGTGAATAGGCCTACTTTACAGCGGCCGCTGCTGTGAGTTAACGGGAGAATAAACTCCAGTGGACAAGCAGCACTGCAGCGGTCGGTAAATGCCGCTGAAACACATTAATAAACAATGAACCACGGCACTCTGGAGAAAAGTATAAGGTTGGAGAAGTCGTTATTTAATTGAATATGGCTTCGTATGATTAAAAGTAACACGATCATCGACCCGACGCAGTCCCCCATTATTGTTGTTGTTGTTGTTGTTGTGTGACTGACCCGAGCTTGCGCCTCGTCGTTGTGATAGCTCCGCCCCTTCGCTCCAACCCCCCTCCCTCCCCCACATCTACAGGTGAAAATTACTTTTGCGACACATTCATCGCAAGAAGTGTAGCAAAAGTCAAAGCCGCAGATTCGCCGATTTATACTGCCACAGAGCAGATTCAGGAAGTTGTAATGACTGATTTGAGAGGTTGTAATAACCAAGTTGCAGTTGTAATGGAAAATATATTTTAAAAATATATATTTTTCTGCAAGTGAACATTTCATCACTAAGTTCATTTTTTTTCTACAAGCTACAACACTTTTTTTTTTCTTCTGTGACTTCAAATGTGGTTCACAGATATGTTATACAAGTGTAAATGTATGCACACAAGCTCAGATTTTGTTTCTGCAAGTGCTCACATCAGGTTTTACACGCTCTCGCATTTTGCACCATATCTACCTTCATATATACTGTATATATTTTATATATCTATGTTATTGTATTCGGGATTGTGGGAAACAGTATTTCGATCTCTCTGTCTATACACACAAACTGAAAGATTGACAATAAAGTTGACTTTGATTACTTTTTTGATAAAAACCTTTGTATTATTCGTAACCCATCTGAAGCGATGGATTCATTACGACGCTGTAGGCGGTTCACTCAGAAAACATTTCAAAGCCTTCAGCAAAGACTGACCTGGACTGTTTGTTCCTTTTGGGGTCCTCTGCAGCAAAGATGTGCACGGTGCCGTGGTCACTGGACACACAGATCAGAGACGCATCCTGGTTGAAATTAATGCTAAAAATGACAGAGCAGAAGGAAATAATGAGAAAGAGTGTTCATTAGAGTCAGTCATGTACAGATGAACCTGATTATCAACACATGAGAAAACATGAAGGTGACACCGCTCACCTGTTATAAAAGCCTGACCTACAGAATTACTATAGGGGAAGTCTGGTATTATCATCAACGTCCATTCTGAGTGTGTCAACATGGTTTAAAACTTAGTAACTTCCTGTTGAGAGCAGCTGGCTAGGTCATGTGACCCCCGCCCTGCTGACTGCAGCACTATGCAGTACGGCCAATCACACATGACACAACATGCATTCAACTGTTTACTAACTACTACATTGAAAACAAAGCATATGGAGATAACTTCCTGACAAAACTCCACAAACAAACTAAACATGTTTTACAAACGCCCTATGATTCACCAACAGACAAAGTGTGGTTTGCAAATACAAAACACCATCTACAAACTAAAGCATTTTGTTTTGCAAATGAAAAACATATCTATCAAACAAACACATTACACAAATAGAGTAATGGGTAAAAACAGGAGAGAGAGAGGCTACAGTGAATGCTTTGAGGGGAAGATGTGAACAGTATTATTGCTCAATGCTCACCAGTAGATGTTAGCTGCCTGAGAGCCACGCCTCAGCTCCTGTATGAGCTGCCCTGCAGATGTGTCAAAGATCCTGATCAGAGTCCCCTGTGGAGACAACACGGATCTGTCACAAAGCAGCAACAACACTAAAAACACAAACACTGAACATTTAAATTCCCTTATTGCTAGCTTGGCTTACTTTTTCTGATGCAGTCGCTATCCTTGTGCCCTGCAGATTTAGAGCAATGCAGCACAGCGCCCCCTCGTGGGCAGGGATGTCTACCGGGGGCTTCTCTGTGTTGGCCAGGTCCACTATCTGCACGTGGCCTGAGTGAGTGCCAGGGAAGGCCAGCAGGGAGTTGTTGCTGTTGGGACACAGCACACACAGACCTGGGGGGAACAGGTTGGTTATAATACGCCCCACATTTATACACACTCTTTCAATGGAAAGCCGGATGGTTAGCATCTTAAATCAGTGGGCTCACCTTTGGGATTATAGCAGGTCTCGAACACATGCAGCTGATGGGGGTTGTGGGTAAAGGTGAAGACTTTGATCATTGAGTCCAGGACCACCACGATCCTGAGAGCAGAGGAGAACCAACACACAAGCTGCCAGTTTAACTCATGTGAAGACTTCACTCAAACAGCATAACAAGTATAATACTAATGCTGCCATGGTGTTGCTGAAATAAATGTCCCCAAAGCAATGACAGAAGACTTTCAGTGGACAGGTCCAGCAGCTTTACCTGTCACGCCGAAGCTTCACTGCTTTCACTTCTGTTGAGAACTCAATCTCAATTACTGTCTTCTTCTTCAGGTCATCCCAGATCATCACTAGAGTACCAAAGAAAATCCCATGAATAAAGTGTATGCTAGTTGGTCAATTGAATATATTATCTCACTGGCCAAAGTATGATAATGATATAAAACCAGTAAGGATGACATTACCTAGCAGGATGTGTCATTAGATCACATGTCTTAGTACTTACTGGCTGTATAATTACTAATCATATTATTAATTCCATTAACAATTAATTTAAATTAAACCTGGATAATCAGCAGAGCATCGATTCGTTGGATTACCTAATTAACAAATTATAAATGAACTTAAAGGGAACATGTGAAAAAAAAACTCAACAAGCCATGCAGGCTCGTTAGAATATATTAGATCAACACCGACGGCTGAAGAGCTACATTCACAAGTTTTCTCGTAATGCATTTACGGCAGACAGAGGGGGAATAAAGGTATATTCAGAAAGACAGCATGAGAAAAATATTTCATTATTAAAATTAATAATGATGTCCCCTGTAACTTCAATGTAGGTTTTAGTCAGAGGAGCAAGCAAGAGAAAATGTCTCTGACTTTGAAAATGTAAAGTAGGAATGAACTTTACCTGCAAATGAAACTACATTCCATTATTTGTCAGAACCAACGCCGGCATAAAGTCCAGTATAAAAAGATCACAAGACAAAACCTACCTTTGTTGGTTGGGTACTTTGGCTTCTTCCCTCCTCCCACTAGTGCTAAATAGTTACACCTGAACAGCATCTCCACATGGCCGACCCCCCCCCTCCAGGAACTCTGAAAGGCAATGTAATTGGGAGAGCACATCAGTTAAAACTAGAGAATGCAATTCCTGAAGAAATTGCTAGTGGGAATGCTTTATGCTGAAAAGCTGACGCTAAACTGCTATGCTGACATGTAATGTGTAAGAAGAAAGTGAAGAATTTAGATTGAAATGATACATGAACACTGGGAGCTTGAATGTGTGATGAGTGAAGAAAAGAGAGTAAAAAAAGAGATCAAAGGTTTGCATTGTTCTGAATGAGATAAACCTCTTACATGTGAACGTTTTGTGGAAGAACCTTAACAGATATCTGTGAAATTTCAAAACGTGAAGCATGTCAAGGAAGTTGAGTATCTGAAGTGTAATTTTTGTGTACTTTTTGGCAGTTTAACTAAAGGTGTGCGGCTGCTGCTGTGAGGAAATATCAGAAATATCAGCCTGAAAGTACAATGGGTTTTAATGGAGACATGTTGAACGTTTTTGTCACTTCATGCCCTCAAGAGGCATTTTGTTTAATTATTTTGTTTAATTATTTGTCATTTTTCAAGCTACGAGATGTTTTCCTACGTTCCTCATGAAAAATGATGTCTCAGGAATGTAGGGTTTGGTAATTATGGCAGTTTTTTTTTTAAATATGAAGGCAAATTTCAAGATTTCCTACCCTCTAGCTGTGACATCACGCACTCTGCCTTAACGAGCTGCGCAATGTTAAAGTTCAAATGTTAAAAATGTGATGTATTATGGGATGTATCTCTGGAATTATGAAAGTTATGAATGATAAAAGTAATAGCCATCGATTCCCGACCGAGCTGAACGTTTTGATGTTTGAACGGAGTTTCTGCGATGTTGAATGTGTGAGGAGAAGACGGACAAAATAACTGGACGGAATTTTGTCCGTAGCATAACATATAGTGGGAATGCTGTATCAGCATTCCCACTAAAATATCTCCTCCCTATGTGCAGCACACGTCGATCGAACTGCTTCAACAGGCTGTTAAGACTGTGCTCAAAGAACTGCACATGGATCAAGTCAGTGAAAAAATGATTTAATAAACAGATTTGGTCCGTCGAGTATTTGCCGCGTTAGGAAAAACTGGAGAATGTCATGTGCTAAATCACATTCGAGTCCTGTTGGGGAGAATCTTCCTCTTTTATCACTCCGTGTTTCAACATTGTTCAACAAGCTGAGTTGGTTGGTTTGAAGAATATTCCTGCAGTCACCAGCCAGTCTACGGCACATTATTCCTACATGAGAGTTACATTCAGTGGCGACTCGTCATTAGGGGCAGGCACAGCCCCACCTACGGTCAGCAGAAAATAATTAAAATAATAATTCCGAAAATATGTGTTAAAATATATTTTAAGATCCTGTTTAGTTGTCTGATTCGTCTGTACATTGCTGTTTTAGTCTGCGTTCTTCTAATTAGTGTCTGCAGTGTGCCTGTTGAGCCGGGCTGAGCGATGTGGGGCAAGCTCCGATCTGCCCCTCTCTCTGCTGTCAAAATGAACGTGTACTGTGAAAACTACACTGCGCATGCTCCGAGTATTTTAGTATGTTAATTCACTGCCTCCGACAGTAGTAATGTGTTGCTCCCCTCTTTCTCACACAATCACACACACCCCTCTCTCTCTCTTTATGCATGTGATGATGAGCTCGCTGTTGCCACGGAACCATGGATAGCCTACAGCTATTTGTTGACGTGTTAAAAAGCACAAGAAGCCTATATATACATATCTAAGTTGTTCGTGCCCCACCAGTTTTGTACATCTAAAAATGCCACTGGTTACATTCAATCAACTGCCTGGATTTATTTATTCAGTTACTAACCCAGTAAATGTGTTATATGTAGCATACATCCGACAAGTAAATTAGCAAATCATAAATTAAAAGTAAATAAATCTAATATGTCACCAGCAAATGCAACAACTTCTCAGATGAAGTTTGGCGGAAAAGCAGTCGCAGTGTTGATTGACAGAAAATGATTCAGCAACTACTTTGATAATTTATGATTTGTTTTAATTGAAAAAGACAATAAGCCAACATTTCTCACCTTCTAGCTTCTCTAATGCCCCTAAATGTGCTGCTTTTCAGTTTTTCATCAAGTTAGACTGATGGTTGGATAAAGAGTCCTTGTGCTCTAGGATACAACAGTGTTTTGAAATACATCATTTGACTACGACATGATTTGTTAGCAGTGGAAACCCTGCTGGGCCGTAGAGCAGAGGCCTGTACTACGAAGCCGGATGTTCCTAACCTGGATATGTTTGAGTTAGCCGGTTGGCCCAATCCAAAACTGTACCACGACGCTGGTTATCAAGTGGATCGCTCAAACCAGCCGTGTCCCGTTAGGTGCGCGTTCACATGAAAGGGGTGGTATTTGGAGCATTCGACCAATCACAAACATGGACAAGCGTACTGACAGCGCAGCGTCATACTTCCTGAATGAAAAGTGAACTTTAATATTAGACAAATATGAAGAAGTTAAACTTTAAACATCCATGACTTAAACACTTTATCCAGGATCAAAGCCACATAGCTGCACCTGCAAGGTGAATACAGCTGGTAACAGAAAAAGTGTTTGAATGCGTACATTAACAGGTTTATGATATCACTGCCCCGTCTAAGACACGATCTGACTTTAATTACATTTGACTCGAGTGTTTCGTCAACTTAATGTGTTGCTTAAAATAATACTTCTGCATACAGTATGTGACACTGTGAGTGTTGCACGGCCAGATACGGCTGAGCTGACTCAGATAAGGAAATATATGATACATTATGATGTGATATGATATGAATGATAATGGGACACATCGACGTCTGCACTCACAGTGCCGCGGACTGTACTTAATGTTACTCTGATCCGGTTACTTATGTCGTGGCAGATATTTAAGTAAGCTTTCTTAACGCTAATGTTATAATAGTCAGATTGCTCTGAAGATAGGAGGGGATATTCTATTAATTTTCACGTTCACACAATCAGTTGATTTTGGCCGGCTGTCTTTCCTGCAACGGCAGTTTTTCTGTATTTCCTCTATCCTGTAATATGACTTGATAGCTTTAAACTCCGCACACGGAGCTCTGATTGGTCAGCAGGCGGTGCTTTCACTGAGTTGATCTCTTAGCCTGCAACCTAACGTCCTCCCGAGGAGGTTAGCCGCTCAGCATAAGTTACCATGGAGATCTAGCCCGCTAAAAAGAGAACCAGCGTCATAGGACCGGAAAGCCCGAGTTTTCCCTGAAGTCAGCCGGCTAAGAGAAAATCCGGCTTCGTAGTACAGGCCTCTGGTGGCTCCTGTTCCCTCTATCTAACCCAGGGGTGTCAAACATGGGGCCGGCAGGCCAAAGCTGGCCCGCCAGAGGGTCCAATCTAGCCTGCGGGCTGACTATGCAAAGTGTAAAAAACACAGTATTAGTAAGACATTAAATGCAGTTTTCACAGCTTTTCTGTATTTTGTATGTAATAATAATAATAATAATAATAATGGGTTTAATTTATAACGCACTTCATATCTGAGTTCAGATCCCGAAGTGCGACAAGCATTTAGCATGGAACAAAATAAAAACAGTATACATTTTAATCATTTACAAGGCACGTGGATAAATGAACCTTCTTTCTAAATAGTTCCCACTTTTGTTTGTACGGCGGTGTGTCAGTTCAGGTGGTCAGGATTACTACAGAGATTCGGAAATTAATGTTAAATAATTTCTAGATATTGACAAGTTATTTTACTTCATAAAGTAAAATACTATATTGTTCAGTTTCAGATACCTGTGGCTAAATGTGTTGTGCCTTTGTAGATACTGTGATTTGTAAGTTGTAATGCACATGTGTAAATGACAACCTGAGGCATAAAATTGTGGAAATTTCACTTATTTTTCTTAAGAAATGTCCGGTTGTTCATAATGTTTTGTAAAAGGATAGTTCATTAAATGTGAACATTTTCAGAATGCACCTTTTTGCACTAAAACAAAGGGAAACATTTGGAGTTGTGGTTATTTATAGGTCTTTATGCTATGATTTTATTGCTCCGGCCCACTTGAGATCAAATGTGTCTGTATGTGGCCCCTGAACAAAAATGAGTTGACACCCCTGATCCCTGATCCAACCCTTTCAAAACGATCCCTCTAATAAAGGCTAAACTGGCTCCTACCCAGCCCTGGAACTGCCCCCTTAATTGTAGACTACACTAGACCAGTGGTTCTCAAATGGGGGTACATTATTGAAAAAGGTTTGAGAATCACTGCACTAGACTGTCTTTAAGCTGCAGGTTAACAGGAAACTAGGCAGTGTTTGCTCCTGGAAGCTGCTCTTGGTTCTTTTTTATTTGCTCTGCCTCCGAACAGGTTTCACTGCTAGAAAAATCTGAACCGATTGAAGGTGAGCTACCTAGAGTGCATACTCATAGAACTGGAGTTGTATTCAGGTTACTTCACAACATTATTTACATGGATTAATACTTCTATATATGGAGGGATGACCAACAAATTCAGCAATTCACATATTTTCATTGATCGAAGAGATCAGCTGTTGAAATAGAAAAGCCTTAATTAGCAAGGTGCTGTAACTACACAGACTGCTCAATGAACAGTTAGAGGTGCACACCCAAACAAAACACGTGACCAACGTGAAATACGTTCGAAAGACACAAACGTTTGAGTCTGCAGAGCTGGTACCTTGTTTCTCCTTCTCTTTAAGAGGATCTGTGTTGTACACACGGAACCCGTTCTCCATCCCGCAGGCAAAGCATCCTGCAAACACAAAAAGAGATGAGACATCTACACTGAGGATAACATTATTCAAATATATTTCAACCTTAACAATAATGACAACACACAGAATGAGGACAGCATTACAGTGGTAAAAGAGCTGACAGAGCAAGGATTAACAAATCATTAACTTTGCAGTTCATGTAAAACTGGCACACCGTTATTGGACATATGATGACAGTGATGTAAAATGTTGGAGAGATTACATAGGGTCTTTGGTCACTTTGCCTTGATACATCACACTAACGTAACTGGAGAGTCTAGTTGGCAACAGTCAATTACTAAAATGATGTTAATGTTACATGTAAACGAATACGTTTACTTTACGGCCTGTCGAAATGTGTAGTGATGGTGAGAGATATACATGTAAACAGTTCTGAGTTTAACTACGGACGGGGTTGACATAACATTTACTTCTGAAACTATCCTTCTTTTAAAAGACTTGGCAGAAGCAAACACAAAATTAGCCCAGTTACACGGTAATAACTGTGAAGCTAACCGCACAGCCTGTTAGCTAGCTAACCAGCGCTAGGTGTGGTAACCAGGGCTCTGCTTGTATTAGCTTTTAAGTTAACATTAGCTACATTGACCATTTTAACTTTCAACATACTGTTCTTATTGAGGGAGCACGTGTTAATGTCTGAATTATCAACCCGTGTCATGCTGACCTTACATTAGCTGGTTAGCTGATTAATTTGGCTGAAAACCAAAAAGCTAGCTAAGTTAGCTGGCTAACTGACGTAATTGGCCAGCAAAACTAACAGTAAGGTAACGTTTGGTACATTCAAGTTACCGTTTCTGGAGATACAATGTAACCACTACATAGCAGCATTAACGGTAACATCACGAGCATAGACATTGCAAATGTGTCGTTAGATAATGCTAAGCTTAATTTAGCAACTTTAGCTTAGCATCTACGACACTTCCAATTTCCAGTTGAAATAAAATAAGTGACAGCCCCGCTTCTTACCATGATCCTGGTTGAATCCAGCATAGAGGAGCCCATTCCCGTGAGGATTAGACGGCAGTAAATTCATTATCTAACAGGAAAACCGAAATCTAAAGAACGTTAACAAGTAAATTAATCCTACAGCTGATGCCCGAAGAGCTAACCTGCTAACGCTACCATTCCTACGGTGGAAAAACAACTGAGGCTTGTTCCTGCTTGGAGAGAGCTGTCAGCAGTCATCATGAAAGGGAGTTTCAGTGAACTTCGTTAACATATTAGAAAAACCATTTTACCCTAAAATGGTTAATTGACTTCTATAATGGTTTTATCTAAATGTAAACATATTTAATTGCTTTTGAGGCAATCACTGATCAAAGAAGGTGTTTATATATAAACCGCCGTTATCGATGATTTAATAAAGATGATTTGTTAAGTGTCGATTACTGAGGGGATTGCCAGTTTATTTACATGTGAGTGAAAATAACGTGCGATATCAGGTAAATATGACAAAATTATCCTTTTTGGATTAATCCAAGATAGACTACATTGCAGTAAATTAGAGTGTACAAAACCCTACCGCAAGCAGCCCCAGTGGCCTAATGGATAAGGCACTGGCCTCCTAAGCCAGGGATTGTGGGTTCGAGTCCCATCTGGGGTGATTGAGTTTTTTTCATGTTAGCAGTTATGAACAAGTCAATTAAAAAAGCTATTATGACAATCATTATACCGCAGTTAATTGTGATAGTATTATTAATATGATTAACGTTTGTAGGGGAAAAACCTAAACTAAAAATAAATAAAGGTATTCTTTAAAATTCTTGATTGAATAATTTGGAATGAAATGCTTTTTTGTCAAAATAAACAAATCACACATCAAAAGTTACATTAGATACATAATTATTAAATTAGTGTAATCGGTCTGACGTCACTGGTTGTATCACAAGCATTACAAAATTACAAATTGACCCTGCTCGATTAAATAGTTTACAAAGGGCTGTGACCAGGAGCGGACACAATAAAACCGTGATAATGTAGTGCCTGTATACCTGCTGTATTCATGGGGCATTTCTCAATCTGAAATGTTCATAATAATGTTCTAGTCTGAAGTGAGTCACTCAGTGTTAATCATTTGATTGATAATATCTGCACCAGTATCTTGTCAATTTTCAGTAATAAACGTATAATTTCTAAGTAATAGTACATTTGTTGCTATAATTTACCTTCCATACCTGATATAGGTCACGCCACTTCCATTGCCTTTGATCTGGTTTATTCCTCCTGGAGGCCAAACCCCAGAAACTGGCAAAGGCCTTCATCAGCCGGGCCATCCATTCTGCATCTCCCACTGCTTTATTGCTTTTAGGGTTAGCGCTAAAGTAAAATAACAAAACAAGTTTGAGCAAATTATACTGCAAAGTGAATAACACTGAGAGTGAGTGCAGACTCTGGGTCTCATGGCGGCTGCTCACGTTGTGGTCCCGTTGGGGTTATTGCATATGCGCCGCCTGCAGAGGTGGTTTTCCAGTCTGCGTTTGGATCCCAAGAGGCACAAACGGCGGCTGGTGACCATCCCTCCCTCAGTGGAGGGCAACCTCCGGTTCTGGGGGTCTCCCCGGGCGCCTCCGGAGGGGGTCCTCCACTGGGGCGGGTACCTCCTACAATCACAGTGTTCACGGACGCATCCAGAACAGGATGGGGAAGGGACCTGCCTGAAGAGGGCTATAGGTGGGCGCTGGTCTCTAACAGAAAACACGACACAGCAACCTCCTAGAGCTACGGGCGGTAAGTGTTAGTCCTCCAGCATTTCATGCCCCTAATTCAAGGGAAGACATGTAATGGTCAGGAGCGACAACAGCACCACAGTGGCTTATATCAACAGGCAGGGCGGAGGTCCGCTCCTTGTTGGCCACAGCGGAGAGGCTGTGGTTATGGGCTTCAGAGGTGATGGTTATCTCTGAGAGCCCCTCCATATCCCGGGACTGGAGAAACAGGGGGGGCCGACCTCATGTCAAGGGGCGGCCCCCTGCCAGGTAGAATGGACCGCTTCACTCGGAGGTGGTGAAGCAGATCTGGGCCCAGTTCGGGAGAGCGGAAGTGGACCTTGTCGCCAGCCGGCGCAACAGCCACTGTGCCCTGTGGTTCTCCATGGCCCTGAGCGACAACCCACCCTTGGGTGTGGACGCGTTTGCACACGAGCCATGGCCAAGGAAGCTGCTATATGCCTTTCCACCGCTGCGTCTCATTCTCCCTCTCCTGGGGAGAGTGAGGCGAGAACGTCTGGCAGTCATCCTAGTAGCACCGGGATCGCGTCGGGGCTCCGTGGTACTCAGAGATGACACAGATAAGGTGGGCCAGCCCTGGGCATCCCCCCAGTTCTGGGGGGCAATGTCTCAAGAGGCAGGTGCAATCGGGGCGTTACCCACTCTGGGCCGTCCTCTTCAGGCTTGGCTCCTGAGAGGGACAGGCTGAGACAGGGTGGATTGTCTGACAGCGTTATTCAGTCTATCCAGGCAGCTAGAGCAGGATCCACCACAGCCTGTTACAGGCCAAAGTGGCTGAGATTCCAGCATTGGTGTGAGGAGCGGAGAATAGAGCCCCTATCTTGTGAGTTGGGCTCTATTTTATCCTTCTTACAGTTATTGGTGGACAGAGGGCTTGCTCATTCCACAGTGAAAGTGTATGCAGCAGCCATCTCGTCCTGTCATGAGGGATTCAACGGCAGGTCAGCCGTCTCTCATCCACTGATGTTGCGGTTTTTACAGGGGGTCAGGAGGCTGCGCCCGGTGGTGCACGCCTCCGCCCCACAGTGGGACCTGCCGCTGGTGCTCGAGGCTTTGGTCACGGAGCCTTTTGAGCCTCTTGAGCTCTCCTCCCTGAAAGCACTGTTGTGGAAGACAGCGTTGTTACTTGCCTTAAACGTCAGCCAAAAGAGTGTCCGAGTTAACTGCTCTGTCGGTGCACCCGAGCTGTTTATTGATTCGGGGTGACCAGAGTGGGGCGACACTCAGACCGAACCCCTCCTTTGTGCCCAAGAGCTTAAGGAGTGGTTTCAGGTCGAGGGCTATTCAGTTGGGGGGTTTTAGTCTTCCACCCCATGGTGGGGCTAGAGAAGCTAAATTAACACCTCCTCTGCCCGGTGCGCGCTCGTTAGCATATTATGTAGAGCGCACAGCTACCCTGAGACGCACTGAACAGCTGTTTGTGTGCTTCGGGGGGCGGGGTGACTGGAAAAGCTCTGTCCAAGAAATGCCTGGCAGGCTGGCTTTGCGAAGCCATTGCACACGCCTACAAGCAGGCAGGGAGAGCCTGTCCCATGGGGGTCCGTGCGCACTCCACACGAGCTGTGGCTGCATCAACAGCCTTATTCAGCAGTGTGAGTGTGGAGGATATATGCACGGTGGCGTCTTGGTCAACGCCAGGCCCCTTCATAAAGTTTTATCTCTTGGATATGTCTGGCTCTTTCTCAGCGTCTGCGTCTTTCTCCCAATTTGTACGTCTCGGACTCAGTGCTAGGCTATCACCTCCGCTCGCTGAAGAGTAAAGGATAGTGGTCAGGAGGCGAGGCCTCCTTTTATACGGAAGTGAGATGCGCACGCATTCAGGTAAGCCCGCCCCGGGGCCGGCTACGTCTATAAAAATCTCAGTAGGTGAATGCTTGCATGAGAGGGTAGTACCCATAGAGTCCAGTAGAGGGCGGAGCCTGTGAGAGATATAACATACTACCAATACAAAAACATTGCTTTTAAAATCCTTCTGTGTGACACGAAAAAAATGGGAAAATTGTGTTGGTGAACACGAATCAATACATTACATTTATTTCTTGACTATAACACGAAATGCCGTGAGACTGGGTTGATTATTTAGGTGTCTATATTAAACAATACAAACTCTCAAGGACAAATTACAGTGGGACATAATAATCTTGGTTATTGTAAAACCTTAATCTAAAAGTTGACGCCAAAACGATGGTTGTAAAATTAGGTTCTATGGCTGTCAAACAGGAAAATATAAACATTTAGTGTTGCTACTTACTTTTAATAGCTCTAATGCGCCTCGCGACTTCTCTTAAAGGTCTCCTATTATGCTATTTTTAGGGATATATTATGGGTCTCAGATATATAAAAATATATAAAAACATGTCTATGGTGTGTTTTGCTCAAAATACCAAAGAGATCATGCATTTTAGACATCCCTGATATCTGTTTCAGCCCTGTTAGAGAAGTGCTGATTCTGGGTCAGTAGCTGCTGGCCCCGCCCCCTTTGGAGCACGCAGGCACACTGTGAGCTCCAGAGAGATGAGTGGCTGCACTGCTCAGATACAGCTTAATGCGGCCGTGATTAAACGCCATATCATGTTCCAAACCACATCAAGGATTATTTCTGAAACAGCATGGAGCTCAAATGCTTTTTCTCTCTTGCGGGTTTACCACAAGGTGAGTTTCCTTTTTTTATATCCTGCTTTTTTACACATACTCTCTCCAGTGCAGCGTTAGTTCTGAGTGTTAGCGATGCTTGCTAATGTAAACACAGACCGTATTACTTCCAAAAAATGCTGCGCATTGTCTCTGATACAGAAAACGTTTCTGATGATTGCTTTCACACGGGCAAAACTCAAACGGACTATAAACTTTAAACACAAGTCATGTGCACATTTACAACGCCACTGAACATACTTACATTTAAATGTGTACTGCCCAAGCCCCCAGGAAGTGCGCCGGACTCTGAGGAAAATATTTGTTGTGGCCAAACGGTGGTACTACACTTCCGTATAGGTTGCTGGGCCCGGAAACACTTTTTCTCATTGACTTACATTGGGAAAGAGTGGTCTGTAAATCGTTGGATAATTTTTTTTTTAATTAAATAAACTACCCAGTATGAACGTTTGTATAGCCCTTATTAAAAACATTCTGTCCTCAAGTTGTAAAATGTGCTAATAACGTTATTCTGAGAGTTATTTTCCTCGGCATTATGAACGCGGATCTAACTCAAGGGACCGCGCCGCCCGGCACGTTCATGTGGAACGTGTTCAGCACTACATGAGTTTACCTTCATGGATGCACAATAAGAACGGACCCATATCGCCTTACTGCCAGCCCACGGAGCTGTAATATGGATATATTGCACATGTTTGTTGTAATTCATCATTTGTAAAATATTATACTACATGGCAGGGGCGGACTGGCCATCTGTAAGAATCTGGGAGAACCACAGAACAGCCGGACGTCAAGGGCCCGTTGACGGCCGGCC